CCATCCCCACCAGATCAAGTGGTTGCACGATGCTTTCCATGAGCCGATCTATATGAGGCACCTCAAACTCCAGGATCTCCATATTAACCTAGCTTCGACTGTGTTTCTGCTCCCATCCTCGCCAGATCAAGTGGTTGCATGATGCTTTCCATGAGCCGTTTCGGAGGCGAGGGTCCAAGCAGGCAAAACTAGCCCTCCTATCTGCTGCTGCTGCTGCTTCTTCTGGTGGTGCTACTGGTGGGACTGCTGCTTGTGTTGGTCAATGGTCACACCCTGTGATTATCGTACCGAACGCCTGTATCTATCTTTCCACACCCCACTCTCACCAGATCAAGTGGTTACACGATGCTTTCCATGAGCCGTTTCGGAGGCGAGGGTCCAAGCAGGCAAAATTAGCCCTCCTACCTGCTGCTGCTCTTGTGATTACCAGATGAAGTGCCTGCATCTATGTTCCCACTCCCCATCACCACCAGATCAAGTGGTTACATGATGCTTTCCATGAGCCGTTTCGGAGGCGAGGTTCTAAGCAGGCAAAACTAGCCCTCCTACCTTCTGTTGCTCTTGTAATTACCGGATGAAGTGCCTGCACCTATGTTTCCACTCCCCATCCTCGCCAGATCAAGTGGTTACATGATGCTTTCCATGAGCCGTTTTGGAGGCGAGGGTCCAAGCAGGCAAAATTAGCCCTCCTGCCTGCTGCTGTTCTTGTGATTACCAGATGAAGTGCCTGCACTTATGTTCCCACTCCCCATCCCCACCAGATCAAGTGATTACACGATGCTTTCCATGAGCCGTTTCGGAGGCGAGGGTCCAAGCAGGCAAAACTAGCCCTCCTACCTGCTGCTGCTCTTGTGATTACCGGATGAAGTGCCTGCACTTATGTTTCCACTCCCCATCCTCGCCAGATCAAGTGGTTACACGATGCTTTCCATGAGCCGATCTGTATGAGGCACCTCAAACCCCAGGACCTCCATATTAACCTAGCTTCGTCTGTGTTTCTGCTCCCATCCCCACCAGATCAAGTGGTTGCACGATGCTTTCCATGAGCCATTTCGGAGGCGAGGTTCCAAGCAGGCAAAATTAGCCCTCCTATCTGCTGCTGCTGCTGCTTCTTCTGGTGGTGCTACTGGTGGGACTGCTGCTTGTGTTGGTCAATGGTCACACCCTGTGATTATCGTACCGAACGCCTGTATCTATCTTTCCACACCCCACTCTCGCCAGATCAAGTGGTTACACGTTGCTTTCCATGAGCCGTTTCGGAGGCGAGGGTCCAAGCAGGCAAAATTAGCCCTCCTACCTGCTGCTGCTCTTGTGATTACCAGATGAAGTGCCTGCACTTATGTTCCCACACCCCATCCTCAATTACCAGATCAAGTGGTTGCATGATGCTTTCCATGAGCCGTTTCGGAGGCAAGGTCCCAAGCAGGCAAAACTAGCCCTCTTACCTGCTGCTGCTCTTGTGAATACTAGATGAAGTGCCTGCACTTATGTTTCCACTCCCCATCCTCACCCCAATGAGCCGATCCTCACCCCATCCTCACCCCAGTGGTTACACGATGCTTTCCATGAGCCGATCTGTATGAGGCACCTCAAACCCCAGGACCTCCATATTAACCTAGCTTCGTCTGTGTTTCTGCTCCCATCCCCACCAGATCAAGTGGTTGCACAATGCTTTCCATGAGCCATTTTGGAGGCGAGGTTCCAAGCAGGCAAAATTAGCCCTCCTATCTGCTGCTGCTGCTGCTGCTGCTTCTGGTGGTGCTACTGGTGGGACTGCTGCTTGTGTTGGTCAATGGTCACACTGTGAATATCGTACCGAACGCCTGTATCTATCTTTCCACACCCCACTCTCACCAGATCAAGTGGTTACACGTTGCTTTCCATGAGCCGTTTCGGAGGCGAGGGTCCAAGCAGGCAAAATTAGCCCTCCTACCTGCTGCTGCTCTTGTGATTACCAGATGAAGTGCCTGCACTTATGTTTCCACTCCCCATCCCCACCAGATCAAGTGGTTGCACGATGCTTTCCATGAGCCGTTTCGGAGGCGAGGTTCTAAGCAGACAAAACTAGCCCTCCTACCTGATGCTGTTCTTGTGATTACCAGATGAAGTGCCTGCACTTATGTTCCCACACCCCATCCTCAATTACCAGATCAAGTGGTTGCATGATGCTTTCCATGAGCCGTTTTGGAGGCAAGGTCCCAAGCAGGCAAAAATAGCCCTCTTACCTGCTGCTGTTCTTGTGATTACCAGATGAAGTGCCTGCACTTATGTTTCCACTCCCCATCCCCACCAGATCAAGTGGTTGCACGATGCTTTCCATGAGCCGTTTCGGAGGCGAGGGTTCAAGCAGGCAAAACTAGCCCTCCTACCTGCTGCTGCTCTTGTGATTACCGGATGAAGTGCCTGCACCTATGTTCCCACACCCCATCATCCTCACCAGATCAAGTGGTTGCACGATGCTTTCCATAAGCCGTTTCGGAGGCGAGGGTCCAAACAAGCGAAACTGGCTCTTCTGCCTTCGGCTGCCGCTTCTGGTGCTGCTACTGCTTCTGGTGCTGCTACTGCTTCTGGTGCTGCTACTGCTTCTGGTGCTGCTACTGCTTCTGCTGCTGCTACTTCTTCTGGTGCTGCTACTGCTTCTGCTGCTGCTACTGCTTCTGGTGCTGCTACTGCTTCTGGTGCTGCTACTGCTTCTGCTGCTGCTACTGCTTCTGGTGCTGCTGCTGCTGCTGCTGTTGCTCGCTACTGCTGGTGGTGCTGCCGCTACTGCTGGTGGTGCTGCTGGTGGTGCTGCTGCTGCTGCTGCTGGTGGTGGTGCTGCTGTAGCTTTAGCTGGTACTGCTACTGCTGGTGGTGCTGCTGCTGGTGATGGCACTACTACTACTAGTGACGGTGGCACTGCTGCCGCTACTGCTGACGTTGCCACTACAATCATTACTGTTGATGCTGCCGCTACTGCTACTACTGCCGCTACTGCCGCTACTGCCTCTACTGCCGCTACTGCCTCTACTGCTGATGCTGCTAGAGATGGCGGCACTGCCACTGCACCAACAGATGAACCGTCGGCACCTCCTGCTGCTAGCAGTGCACTCAATACAGAGGACGACCCCCTTCCAAGCAGGGAGTTCCCTGAACAACAGCCTTCAAACCAGATGCTTGAGCCGGCTCAGCAGCGGCCGGCAGCACCGCGTGTTGCTAGCAGTGCACTCAGTACAGAGGACGACCCCATTTCAAGCCGGGAGTTTCCTGAACAACGGCCTTCAGACCTCGCTGCTTTCCGTGCTGCGTTTTCTCATATCCGACCTGACACCATGTGATTAGACAGACTGCTGCTGATGCTGCCATTGCTGCCGCTACTGCTGCTACTGCCCCTACCGCCGCTACTGCCGCTACTGCCCCTACCGCCGCTACTGCGGAGGCTGCTGGAGATGGCACCGCTGCTGCTGCACCAATGGATAAACCGTCGATCCTGCGCTGTGTCACTGCTGTCACTGCTGGATAAACCGTCGATTCTTCATGCTGCTAGCAGTGCAGTCAATACTGAGGACGACCCCATTTCAAGCAGGAAATTTCCGGAACAACAGCCTTCAGAACTCGCCGATTTCCGTGCTGCGTTCTCTCATATTCAACCGGACACCGTGCGATTAGCAGCGCAGTCGATACAGAGGACGAACCCAATTTCAAGCAGGGGGGTTCCTGAAGGAGGTGCTGCCCCAATTGGGAGCTTCCTGAAAGGAGCTCAAATCTCATGCTCAAGTCGACTCAGAGGTCGGCACCTCCTGCTGCTATCAGTGCAGTCAATACAGGGGACGCCCGCATTTGAACCAGGGCATTTCCCGAGCTACAGCCTTCAGATCTTGCTAATTTTTGTGCTGCGTTCTCTCATATGCGGCCCGACTGGCGGGGTGTGATTAGATTAGATGACCAGGGCAGTCATTTGTTCGTCTTGTCACTTCCATTCGCTTGTAAATATCATTGAAAGAACAAGGCATCATACTTGACATTGCTTGTTTCCGTTTCATGAAGGATGCTGGAGGCAAGGTGTTGCGTGCAATTTAAAGGAGCTTGTTAGAGATGGCCTGTGAGAAGAATTGTTTAGATCTCGTACTGCTGACACAACATAGTTTCCTGGAATGCAGTGCTTTGCTTTGCACACAGCAGTACTCTATTCAAAGCCATGCAATCAATGCGAATGAAGGCACAGCCACGCATGGCTAACAGCTAAAGCCCCCTAGCAAACAACCAGCTTTCCGCCTGCTTTCGTCCCTCCTGCTTCACAAGCTCCTTCACTTAGCAAACAACCAGCTCTCCACCTGTTTTCGTCCCTCCTGCTTCACAAGCTCCTTCACTTAGCAAACAACCAGCTCTCCACCTATTTTCGTCCCTCCTGCTTCACAAGCTCCTTCACTTAGCAAACAACCAGCTTCCCACCTAAACTCGTCCCTCCTGCTTCACAAGCTCCTTCACTTAGCAAACAACCAGCTTCCCACCTAAACTCGTCCCTCCTGCTTCACAAGCTCCTTCACTTAGCAAACAACCAGCTTCCCACCTAATTTCGTCCTTGACCTTGAACCTCTGTCTTCAGCAGCTCAGCCAGAGCCTCCAGAGGAGCAGGAGCACCAGCATCAGCAGTTGCATAGAAAGCAGCAACACCACCAGCATTACCAGCAGCATCACCAGCAGACGCATCACCACCTTGCGTAAACCCCGTTGCTGCTGCCACTCCAGTTTGTGAGAATTTTTTTTTCGCCTAAAAAAAAGCCACTTGCATCACCCACGTGGTTACCACTCCCGAGTATGGCAATGTCAAGTGAGAAACTGTTGTTTGGATTTAGGGTTTCACCAGCCACAATTCTTCCTCCTCTCCCAATTTCAAGCCAGAGGCTACTGTTTCACAAGCCCCTTCCCTTTGCTCACAACCAGCTCTCCTCCTGCTTGAAGCACTGCCAGAACCAGCAGCAACAGCAGCAGGAACACCAGCATCGCCAGTAGCACAGATACTACTGTTTCACAAGCCCCTTCCCCTTGCTCACTACAAGCTTTCCTCCTGCTTTCTTCCTTGCCCCTCCTCCCCCTCCCCCAGCACCGGCAGCACCCGAACCACCTGCATCGCCCCCATTGCTGCCACTCCCGTTTTTTGCCCGAGCCTGTTCCATTGCTTCGGCCGATCGACCCAAGAATGTTCTTTTTCACTGGAGTAACACCAGCACCAGTAGCACCTGCACCAGTGGCACCTGCACCGGTGGCACCAGCAGTAGCAGCACCACCAGCAGCAGTATCCAAAGCCTTGCCCAGAACTTGTGCCAACTTGTCTCCTCCTCCTCCTCCTCCTCCTCCTCCTCCTCCTCCTCCTCCTCCTCCTCCTCCTCCTCCTCCTCCTCCTCCTCCTCCTCCTCCTCCTCCTCCTCCTCCTCCTCCTCCTCCTCCTCCTCCTCCTCCTCCTCCTCCTCCACCTCCTCCCCCTCCACTACCCTTCTCCTCATCCCACCCCTCCTCATCATCCCAGTTTTCCCACCCTTCCCCTCCCCCACTCCCACTCCCCCTCCCCCTCCCACTTGGCCCCTGCCCCAATGCCAACGACAAATCCACCTCCTTTCCTGGAACCTTCGCGTACGCCGGACCTCCCAGCCCGCCGAACCTGTCCCCGGCCTCGCTGGTTCGGCAGCAGCAGAGGCAGCAGACGCAGAGGGAGAGAGCGAGCGTGGCGAGAAGACCCAGCAGGAGATAGAATGCCGCTGTTTGGGCCTCGGCATAAGGTAGGAAGGTGCTGAGGAGAGATGCTAAGGGAGCAAGGACAGGTTCCAAGGTCGAGGCAAGAAGAGAAGAGAAGGAGGGCTGGGAGGAGGGAGAGGAGAGGGAGGGAGAAGAAGCAGAATAGGGTTCCGAGGAGGAAGACGAAGAGATGGGGGGATTGAAGGAGGGGGGCGAGGAGGAGCGTGGGGTGAGAGCCTCCTCTGTAGGCAGAGTTGCCTTGGAGCTTATTCCTTCTCCTTCTCCTTCCTCTTCCTCTGCTGCTGCAGCTGTTTCTGCTCCTGCTGCTGCCCCTTCTCTTCCTCCTGCTCCTGCTGCTGCTCCTGCTGCTGCTCCTGCTGCTGCTCCTGCTGCTGCTCCTGCTGCTGCTCCTGCTGCTGCTTTTGTGTTGGAAGGAGCAGAATCCTCAAGCGTTCCATACTCATCCTCCTCTCCCCCATACGGAGACTCCCTGCCAGTACCACCACCAGCACCCCCACCAGCACCACCATCACCCCCACCGCCCCCAAGCTTTCCTGCCCCTGCTCCTGCCCCTGCTCCTGCTGCTGCTTTCGGGTTGGACGGACCAAAATCCTTAGGAGTTCCGTACTCATCCTCCTCTCCCCCATACGGAGAATCCCCACGACCACCCCCACCAGCCCCACCACTCCCACCACCCCTACCACCGCCACCACCACCACCACCACCCCCAAGCTTCCCTGCCCCTTCTCCCTTTTCACTTGGCAGACCTCCCCCCGCCGCATCAGCAGGATACTCCTCTCTCTCAACTGCATCTGCAGGTGAATCTTCAGGTGAAATTTCAGGTGTTTCATCAGCAGCAAAGTCGTCTCCAGGCGTTGCCCACTCACCTCCCTCCTCCCTGCCTCCCTCACTCTCTCTCTCCCTCTCCCCCTCTCTCGCCTCTTCTTCTGCTCCATACTCTTCCTCCTCATCAGGCTTTTTCCTGGCATCATCACCACCAGATCCTTTTCCCCTCTCCTCCTCCCCACCAGTTCCTTTTTTGGCATCACTGCCACCAAATTCTTTTCCTCTCTTCTTCTCAGCCTCCTCGCTCCCATACTCTCCCTCCTCCTCTCTCCCCTCCTCTCTCGCCGCTTCAGCACCGGAATATTCCTCCTCTCCTTCACCTGTTTTCTTCCTAGAATCAACAGCACCACCTGCTTGTCCTCTCTTCCCCTCACCCCCCTTCTTCGAAGCTGCTGCGTCTGCTGCTGCTGGCCTTCCATCTACTGGCCCATTTACTCGTTCACCTGCCACTGAGTCTTCTTCCTCTGCTGCTTCTTCTGCATCCGATGCCCCAGTCTCAAACCCACTGTCACCTCCAGAACCCTTACCAGTCTTACCCGAAGACCTGCTATGCAAAAGCCCTTCCTCTCCTCCTTCTGCTGGTGCTTCTGCATCCAATGCCCCCAACTCAGTTTCACTCTCATCCCCACTCTTAACCTTACCCTCAGCTGCAGCCCCCTTCCCAGTTTTACCCGAAGTCCTGCTGTGCAAAAGCCCTTCCTCCCCTCTCTCCTCTGCTCTCATCTCCGCCTCCTCCTCTCCCTCCTCTTCCACTCTCTCTACATCCTCATCTCCCTCCTCCGCGTTCCCTCCCCTTACCCCACCCCTTCCTCCTCCCGCACCACCCTCTCCCACTGTCAGCCCCTTCTTGAATCCTCCCTTTTCCCCCTGCCGCTCAGAAACAACAACAGTATCATCACCCAAACCCTCCTCACCCTGCTCCTCCCTCTCCTCCTCTCCTTCTCCCACTGTCACCCCCTTCTTGAATCCTCCCTTTTCCCCCTGCCGCTCAGTGACAACAGCATCATCACCCAATCCCTCCTCCCCCTGCTCCTCCCTCTCCTCCTCTCCTTCTCCCACTGTCACACCCTTCTTGAGTCCCCCATTCTTCCCCTGCCGCTCAGTGACATCAGCACCTTCACCCAAACCGTCCTTCCCCTGCTCCTCCCTCTCCTCCTCTTCCTCTCCTCCCTCTCCCACTCTCATCCCCTTCGTGCCACCTCCCTTCTTCCCCTGCCGCTCAGTAACAGCAATATTATCACCCAAACCCCCCTCGGCCTGCTCCTCCCCTTCCCCCTCCCTCTCCTCTTCGTCCTCTCCCCTTTCTCCCTCTCTCATCATACTATTCCCAGTAAGATCAGCTCCTGTAAGCGTTTCCTTCCCGGACACACCCTCTCCGTCAGTGGCGTTTGCAGCAGCCAAATCAACCACATTAACATCCGTTCCCCCTGCTGCTGTGGCAGCTTCTGCTGTTGAGGCTTCGCTACCTGCATTGCCACCTGCCTTGCTACCTGCTTTGCTAACCCTCCAGCTACCCGTTTCTGTACCCTTTTCCCCAGTGGCTTTTGCAGCAGGAACACCTAGCAAAGATGTATCCAACTGTGCATCTTCCTTTGTCTCTGCCGCCAACTCATCAACCTCCTCTGCTGCAGCTGCATCCTCTGCTTTTCCCTCTTCCGTTTCCTCTGCCACTTCCCCCTTCTCCTTCTTCTCCTCCTCCTCTTCCTCCTCTTCCCCAGCCAATCCTGCCTCCTCTTTAATCCCCCCCTCAGCCCCTCTCTTCCCCACCGCTCCCTCTTCCTCCTTAACTCCCTTATTACCCCCCACCTTGCTTGTAACATTTGCATCCACCAATTCCTCCTCCCCTCCTCTCTTCTCTCCCACCTTATTTGTAACATTCGCCACACTACTAGTAACATTCCCACCACCAGCACCACCAGCACCAGCACCAGCACCAGCACCAGCACCAGCACCAGCAGCACCAGCAGCATCAGAACCTTTAGCTTTCGGCATGATTGCCTCTTCTGCTGCTGCCAATGCCTCGTCCACCTTCTCCATCCCCAAATCCGCTGGCCCAACCTTCACTTCCTCATCCTCCTCCGCTTCTTCTCCCTTCACCTCCTCTCCCTTCACCTCCCCTCCCTTCTTTTCCCCGCCCTTCAACTCACCCTCCTCCTCCCTTTCCTTCTGTTCCACGCCCTCACCTGTCTGCTGCTGCCCACTCACGCCCTCTTTCCTCTGCCCCTCACCACTCACGCCCTCCTCTCCTAACCCCTCCTTCCCTCCCTTCGCCCCGTCCATCCCCACCTCCCTCGTCCCTACCTTCCCCATTTCTTTCTTTTGAGGCGCCTCAAAAGTACCCTCTACTTTCTGCCCCTCACCACTCACGCCCTCCTCTCTTGTCATCTCCTTCCCTCCCTGCGCCGCCTGTTTCCCCCCGTCCATCCCCACCTCCTTTGTCTCCTCCTTCCCCATCTCTTTCTCCTCCTCCGCCTCCTCGTCCGCTTCAGTCTCTGCTAACACATCAGCTGTTTTCGCATCCTTCGTTTCCCCATCAGTCACCTTCGCATCCTTAGCTTCCCCACCAATAACCCTCCCCTTCTCCTCCTCTGCTTCCTCATCGCCCGTTTTCCCATTCTTTGCTTCCCCACCAGTTACCTTCGCATTCTCTGCAGCCCCACCAGTCGACCTGGCACCCGCAACTGTGCCACTTTCATCCCTCTCTCCCTTTCCCGCTCCCATCTCTTTCTCCTCCTCCGCCTCCTCTTCCTCTTCGCTCTCTGCTTCCTCATCACCGGTTTTTGCATTCTTCGCTTCCCCACCAGTCACCTTTGCATTCTCCGCAGCCCCACCAGCAGACAACGCACCCTCATCTGTGCTCACTTCATCAGTCTCCCCTTTCTCCTCCTCCTTGCCTGCTCCAGTAATTTCGCTCCGATTTGCACCAGCAACAGCAGAAGCAGCAGCAGTTGCTGTCCCGCCAGTGGTAGTAACAGAAGCAGCAGCAATAGCAGCACCGTCAGTGGTAGCGGGTGCGATGTCAGTGGTAGCGGCACCAGTGGCTGCTTTGGCAGCAGTGGTAACTTTAGTGGTGGCACCAGTGGCGCCTTCAGTGGTAGCAGGCGCAGAGTCAGCACTGCCAGCATCGGTATCCTTAGTGGTGGCAGCAGTGACATCAGTAGTAGCAGCAGGTGCAGTGGCAGCAGTGGTAACGTCAGTTGTGGCAGGTGCAGCAGCAGCAGTATCCCTAGCGGTAGCAGCAGTGGCACCATCATTAGTACCAGGAGCACGAACCTTCACAGCAGCATCACCACGAGGAACCGAAGTATCCACACCAGCAGCCGCGGCAGCAGCATCATCATCACCGGCAGCAGTGGCACCAGCAGCACCAGTACCTTCCGAAATGGCAGTGGCAGCTTCCCTATCAACAGCATTCACAGCAGCAGACTTGGCACCTTTTGGCAATCCAGAAGCAGCAGAAGCAGCATCAGCAGCACCAGCACCTGCCGGAGTGGCACTGGCAGCTTCCTTATCAACAACATTCACTGCAGCTGACTTGGTGCCTGGCAAACCAGCAGCAGCAGAAGCAGTAGAAGCAGCAGAATCAGTAGCAGTGGCAGCACCAGCGGCAGCTACATTCCCTCCATTCTCCTCCTCGTCTTCCTCCTCCTGCTTCTCCTCCCCTTCCTCTCGCACCTCCTTTCCTCCCTCTGTTGCAGTCACACCACCAGAAGCAGACTTCGCAACTGAATCCCTGTTTTCTTCCTCCCCTTTCTCCCCTCCCTCTGCTGCACTCACAGCAGAAGTAGCAGCTTTCGCACCTAAATCCTTCTTGTCTTCCTCCCCCTTCCCTCCTTCCTCTTCTTGCTCAGATGCAGGCTCTGCAGGAGAAGCAGGCTCGGAGGAAGAAGCAGGCTCGGCAGAAGATGCGGGCTCGGCAGAAGATGCGGGCTCGGCAGAAGCTGTACCGGCTGTACCAGCGCCTGCGGGAATTCTAGGTTCGGCAGACCCAGCCGAGCCTGGCCTTTTGCCTCGGACAACGGGTCGGGGACCATGTAAGCCCGCAAGAAGGCGACGGTTCAGCCCAACTGTTACAGATGCTGCCGTACCTTCCAAACCGTTAGGTCCGGAGGTTGTACTTCCGGTTGTAGCATCCAAACCTCTAGGTTCGGAGAGTCCAGCCACGAGGGAAGGGAGAGATACAGCAAAAGTTGCTGCTGCAGATTCGGTTTCTGTGGGAAGAGTTACAAGACGACTCGAAGCAGACTCGGATGTTGCAGGACGGGTGGTTTCAGGCCTGGGTCTGGGAATGAATGGATCAGCTGTTAAAGTGAGAGTTTCAGGGACACGCGAAGGGATGGCTGTCCCAAATTGAAGGCCATCCGTTGATCGACTCAGTGCCTGAAATGAAAATACAAAAAAAAAAAAAAAAAAAATATATATATATATATATACAAAAAAAAAGAACGAAAAAGGAAAAGACTCGAGATTTTTAAAGAGAAGACGAAAGACAATGGATTCTGAACGCAAATGGAAGCTAAGTGACCTGTTTTGAGCAGCAAAGTAGTCGGATCCCCCACGACGTTTTAAGTTGGGAGAAGAGATAAGGCGAGAGAGGAGAGGAAAGAGAGTGAGTGAGGTGAGAGAGAGGTGACAGAGAAGGGGAAAAGAGAAGGACGGGCTTACCCAACCAGGAGCAACGGAGGACAATCGAAGAAACGATAAGGAGAATCGGAAGGCGAGGCGAGACAGAACGAAAACCGAGAGGAGAGAGAAAGAGAAAAGTGGCTTACCCAACTAGGGGCAACGGAGGACAAATGAAGAATGATGATGAGAACGCTGGTCATCGACGATGACGTCATTATGCGCCGCGTCGACGTCATCCGAGCTTTCGCTACGTCGCCGCGTGGAGTGACAGAGTGGATGGGCAGATATTGAGAAGCCTAGAACTCCGACAATAGGACTGTCACGAGTCGCACGTCGGCGAGCCGTTAGGAGGCCGTTAGAGCATTCACTACATCCACAGAATTCTCTAGGATCTCCGTCCGCATTCTCCGCATTCTGTCACGCCAACGGTAAATATATCCTATTCCTCAGCAAATCGCCGTCTCGTGAGCGAATCTCGCTCGCGAATGCGGAGGCGAGGAATAACGAAAGCTCACGAGAAGCACTGGTAGGAACAACCGTGGGAGGAGCGGCAGTCTCATGCTAAACCTAAACCTGAAATTGATCTCAGCCGTTTCTCGCTAACCACGGAACTCCTGTCTGTACGCATGCTGCTGAAATCACGGAACTCCCTATGATCGACGCTTCTCTTGGAAATAACGGATGGGATCAACGGCATCTCGGTGGGACCAACATTCGGTAGGTGAAGCAAACAAGATGGATAAAAAAAAAAGAGTAAATAAATACAAAACAATTCCTTGTGGCATGGGGATTTTGCTCAGATGGTAGAGCGCTCGCTTAGCATGCGAGAGGTATGGGGATCGCTACTCCACTTCTCCAATTGGTTGTGTACTCTTGTTGGTTCCATCTTTGGGTTGGTGCAAATGCCCTCCCCCTCAATTTTCATTGCCCTCCCCCTCAATTTTCATTGCCCTCCCCCTCAATTTTCATTGCCCTCTTCCTCAACTTTCATTGCCCTCTCCCTCAACTTTCACAAGCTGCTTTTAGAACATGCAATTAGCAGGTAAAGGGCTAACTTGCAGCATTGGAACTTGGTTATCTGGGGTCTGTTTGTGGGGCATTGTTGAAGAGTGGGCATAAATAAACACATTGTCAAGTTCTGTATGCTTCCCCATGTTGCAATTATCCAAAGCTACGGCCAGTGGGAGAACTACAGTATCTGCATCAGATAGTCACGATTCTTGAGGGTTAGAGGCATGGCATCGCCCCAAGAACAAGAAATCACAAACAGAACTAGCACCAAAGCTGGCAATGATGCTTCTAATCTACCGTACAAACAATGCACATTCTTCCTAAGGGACAACAGTATACTTGGTGGGATGATCAGGAACCTAGGGTACAATCACTCCATAAAGCCCATCAAATCAGAAAGACACATTTTGCAAGGGTACATTTTGCATGGGGTTCTTCCCAACACCCCATCCTCCTTATTGAGCTGAAGATCCCAACATCAATCCAACTGTAGCTTTGAGCACTTGCGCACTCTCCTTGGCATACCTCACACTATCCTCCCCGGCCTTCAGCCCCAGCCACTCAGGTGGACATGTGGCAGGCAGTGATTGGACCCAGCTGGTATACGCCTCCTCAGTGTCTTCGTCAGGCAATTTCAGTAACGCTGACATGCTGGTTACTGCATCACCAGCACCAGCAGCAACACCAGTAGCACCAGCAGCAGTAGTAGCAGCAGGAGCAAGAGAGAGGGCAAACCGTGGCGAGAAAAATGCCTTGGGATCTCCAAACACGTGCGAGACGATGCGGGAGAGAGTGGCATGGTCTGCAGGAGACTCCATCTTGAGCCCGTAGGCTATGTCTAGGAGGAGCGTTCGCACGGCCGGTAGGCTGTTCATGGGTGTCAGGTGAGCGGGGTTGTCTGCTTGCCATGCTTGGAGTAGTGATAGAGCCCAGGTGAGGTCCTGCACGTGGAAAACAGGGATGGGAAGCGGTGGAAAGGGGTGAGAGAGTGGCATGGTCTGCAGGAGACTCCATCTTGAGCCCGTAGGCGATGTCTAGGAGGAGGGTGCGCACTGCTGGTAGGCAGTTGAGGGGCGTCAGGTGGTCAGGGCTGTCTGCTTGCCAGGCGTGCAGCAGGGAGAGCACCCAGTTGAGGTCCTGTATGGGTGGGGAGCGGTCGTAATAGGTGACACGGGGTGGGGAGCGAGCAGAAGCTAGCAGATTAGGAGTAAAGATAAGGCGCTCCCATGCTCCCACCCACACGAACCCCCACACTCCCACATTCTCCTCCACCCACACACCCACATGGTACATGAACGTGCAACGGCACAGCCACGAAACAGGGCATGCAATGCGCCCGCTCTTGTCCACTCACGCTTGCACACAGGCACACTCAGACCACACTCACATGGTCCATGAAGGTGTAAGGGCACAGCCACCCCCGGGGCACGTAGTGCACCCTCTCCTGCAACACCGCATGCACCCATGCCATGCCCACCCGCACCCGCTCTTACCACTCACACACTTGCACACAGGCATTCACACTCACAACATGTCAACACCAATACCCAAACCCAGCAGCTTACATGATCCATGAAGGTGTAAGGGCACAGCCACCCTCTTGGCACATAGTGAACTCGCTCCTGCAACACCGCATGCACCCACGCCATGCCCATCCACACCCGCTCTTGCTAGCTCACTCACCCCACACTCCAAGCCACACAGGGAGCCACACTCCAAGTCTCACTCACATGATCCATGAAGGTGTAAGGGCACAGCCACCCTCGGGGCACATAATGCACTCGCTCCTGCAGCACCGCATGCACCCACGCCATGCCCACCCGCACTCCAAGACACACTCTAAGCCACACACTGCCCACCCACACTCACATGGTCCATGAAGGTGTAAGGGCACAGCCACCCCCGAGGCACATAGTGCACTCTCTCCTGCAGCACCGCATGCACCCATGCCATGCCCACCCGCACCCGCAGCATCTGCCGCCTCCTCCTCTCCTCCTCCTCCTCATCAACCCCTCGCACTTGCAGCATCTGCTGCTTCTTCCCCTGTCGCCTCTTCACTACTGTATCCCCACTGGATTTGCTGCTGCCCCTCTCTGCTTCTCCCTCCACTGAGTTTCTGCCTCTCTGCCGCTCATTCCACTGGCTGCTGCCTCTTGCCGAGAGAGAGAGGATGGAATCCAGAGACCTCTGCAGGGGGGGGGCGTGAGAGGGGTGTGAGGGATGGGTGTAGGAAGAGGTGAGCTATTGCGTCTATGTGCCTTTCCTCTGCCGCATTTCTGCCTCTCTGCCGCTCGTTCCAATGGCTGCTGCCTCTGGTTGAGAGAGAGAGAATGGAATCCAGAGATCTCTGTAGGGGGGAGAGGGCGTGAGAGGAGTGTGAGGGTTGTGAGAGGAAGGGGTGAGCGTTTGCATTCGCATTGCCCTTCTGAAAATTCTCAAAAGCCAGTCGCTGTGCCCTTCCTGTGAGGGGTTTCTCCCTCCCTTTCACCCCAGCCGGTGCCTACATTACCATCACACACGCCTCCATCAGATTGGAAGGCGCCGATTGAGTCAACTCGAGAGTGGAAGGAGAGAGAGAAAAACAGAGCGCCTCACCTGCATGCTGCCCTTGACTCCAGCCGGTGCCTCCATCACCTCCACCAGCTTGGGAGTGATGTGAGGCGATGCAAACCAGTGGAGGGAGAGAGGGGGCAGGGGTATGAGAGACAAGAGGAGTAAGCTGAGAGTCTCACCTGCATGCTGCCTTTCACCCCAGCCGGTGCCTCCATGACCAGCACGTCACACGCCTCCACCAGCTTGGGCGACACCGGGAGGGAGAGGAGAGCAGGAAGGGAGGAAGGGAGTAAGAGAAGGGGCGATTGTATCTCACCTGCAAGCTGCCTTTAACCCCAGCCGGTGCCTCCATGACGTGCACGTCACACGCCTCCACCAGCTTGGGCGGCATCAGCCTTACAGCCGCCCCCGCTGATGGAGGCGAGTTACTGGGTTGACTGTGAGCACAAGCGAGGAGGAGTAAGCTGAGGGCCTTACCTGCATGCTGCCTTTAACTCCTGCCGGTGCCTCCATGACCAGCACGTCACACGCCTCCACCAGCTTGGGGGGCATCAGCCATACAGCCAGAGGAGAGCAGTCAGGGAGGAAGGGAGCAACACAGAAGGTAGTCTCACCTGCATGCTGCCTTTAACTCCAGCCGGCGCCTCCATGACGAGCACGTCACACGCCTCCACCAGCTTGGGGGGCATCAGCCTTACAGCCGCCCCCGCTGCTTCCACCGTCAGCACCAGCCGGAAATCCCGATGCACTGGCACCTGCTTCTGCTTCTGCTGCTGCTGCTGCTGCTGCTGCTGCTGCTGCTGCTGCTGCTGCTGCTGCTGCTGCTGCTGCTGCTGCTGCTGCTGCTGCTGCTGCTGCTGCTGCTGCTGCTGCTGCTGCTGCTGCTGCTGCTGCTGCTGCTGCTGCTGCTGCTGCTGCTGCTGCTGCTGCTGCTGCTGCTGCTGCTTCTGCTGCTGCTGCTGGTCACGATGCAGCAGCGGCACCGACAGAGCGCGTGACTGTAACGAGTTGAGCAGCAGTTGAAGCCACGCAGCATGCCTGGGCACGGATAGGGCCAGGTGCGCGTTACATAGGACCACCCACCGCCCCTCCCTCGCCCCTCCCTCCACCGCCCGCTGTGCTTCTGCCACTGCATCGTCTGAACCCATTGCCACTGCTACAACCCTAGGCCCTGCAGCGGCTGTAGCAGCAGAGGCAGCAACAGCACTTCTGACAGCACCTGCGGCTGTAGCAGAGGCAGCAGTGGCTGTAGCAGCTGTAGCAGCAGCTGTAGCAGCTGTAGCAGCTGTAGCAGCTGTAGCAGCTGTAGCAGCTGTAGCAGCTGTAGCAGCTGTAGCAGCTGTAGCAGCTGTAGCAGCGGTGAGCATGGCAGTTGGGTCGCAGCTGCCGACGCAGGCCACCAGGATCGGGCGAGCAGGCTCGGCCCGAGCCTGCATGAACCGAGCCGCAGCAGCAGGATGCTCCATGGGATGCTCTAGTGTCATTCCGAACCTCCCCCCAGCTGCTTTTGGTCTGCTAACAGCATCAGAAGCACCGGCAGCAGCACCGGCAGCAGCACCGGCAGCAGCACCGGCAGCAGCACCGGCACCAGTAGCAGCAGCACCAGCAGCGGAGCAGCTACCCCCCTGATTGATTACAGCCTCTACCAGTCGCCGCCCTGCAATGTCCGTTTGACCTGCGTTGACCACCATTGACTCCACAAACCCAACCACTGCCCCCATTGCAGCACCCCTCCTGGTCTCATACTCGCTATAAGATGCCCCAGCAGCCGTACGCTGGAGCTCCTCTTTCACTGCGGCCGAAATCTGCCTTGCTGCTTTGCCTGCGTCCAAAGCTGTAGCAGAGGCTTTAGCAGTGCCTGTAGCATCGCCAGTACCAATCTCCATTCCCATCCCCGTAGCAGACCCTGTAGTGGCAAACTTTGCAGCGACAGTTGTAGCCAGGCCAACCCAGTCCACGTCATCTGCCAGCCTGGCGCAGCGGGATAGGGCGAGGGCCACTGGCAGGTGGTGCCGGTACTCTGTAGCCTCTGCCGTCCTCGTTATAAGCTCACTCAGTACTGCTGCCACCAGCTGTCGAACCCTTGGCTTCACAGCCACTGCAGTATCTGCTGTTGCTACTGCTTCCACCCCTACTGCTGCTGCTGCTGCTCCTGATGTTATTGCTGCCACACCACCAGCACCAGCACCACTAGCACTAGCAGCCGAAATCGCGTCGTCAAACGCCCGCAAGAAAAAATCCAGCGAGAATCTGTACAGCGGCTGCTGCAGGGCGGCAGCCGCCCCAGAAAGGACAAAAAACGCCGCCGCACCGACCTCCGCCAGCGGCGCGTACAGCGTGCGGACGGCGTCGACTTGTCTCATTACCAGGCGCACCTCTCTGGCCTTCGCCTTCACTGCTGCAGCGTCCTTTTTAATCTGAGCGAGGGTTTTTGAGACTGTTGAGTCGTCCATTACGGGAGGGAGGGGGGCTGGCGTGGGGATTGGGGATTCGAGGGTCCGGGAAGAGTGCGAGACTCCCACAGGCGTTTGTGCTGCTGCTGCTGCTGCTCCAGCTGCTGGTGCTGCTGCGTGTGTGTGTGCTGCTGTTGGTGTTGCTGTTGCTGCCACGCCTGACGGTCGTTTTAACCCACTAAACATGCTGAAAGTAGGAGGAGGGGTGTTACTGACACAGCCACCAGCACCACCACGAGCAGGTGTTACAGCCGTGCCCCCAGTTACCACACCGCCTACCACTCCTCCTCTCATCCCTCCTTCCACTCCCCCGTCCTCCTCCGGTGACGTCAGCACCTCAAGCAATCTCCCTTCCAGCTGGCGCAACCTCCTTCGGCAACGCTCCTGCAGAGCCGCCGCCCGGTCCCGCTGCTGCGCCACGTCAGCGCGCTCCCGGCCAATCACGCGGCTCAGCAGGTGCTGACGCAGCCACGAGGGCGAGATCCCGGTGGTTACCACTGCGGTTTTGGATAAGAGAGAGGGGGAGAGAGGAGGAAGGAGGGACTCGGTTGTCAGGAAGAGGCGGAAGGAGGGGGAAACGTCGATTTCTCGGTTCAGCAGGCGGATTTTGGAGAGGGAGGGAGTGAGGGAGAGAGCGGGTGAGGAGAGCGAGGAAGACGGAGAGGCGAGGAGGGAGCGGGAGGAGGAGAGGGAGGACGAAGAGGAGGATGGGGAGGGGGAGGAGAGGAGGAGGGACGAGAGGATGGAGCTCATATGTGAGACGTCCCGGATGATCAACGGGAGGCCGAATCTGACTGCTTTTTCCGCTGCCCGTGCCAACACGCTCTCCTCCTCCTGTGCGCTCACACACACCACTCCCATCTCCTGTTTCACTTCCCCTGAACGCTGACTATCACTCAAACCAGGACCACTTTCGCCTGTAGCATTCTCGACTGTAGCAGAATCAGCTGTAGCAGACTCGGCTGTAGCAGATTCGGCTGTAGCAGCAGCAGGGGCAGAGCAGGAGAGAACCTTTCTCAGGAATTCAACCATTCTTCCAGATGGGTCTACTAGCAGAGGCACTCTGCGACACTTAAGCACCGATTCAGCGTTTTGTAACGCGTAATCGTCCTGTGGTAACCCCATCGCCTCCCATTTCGCCCGCTCCTCCTCCACCTCCTCATCCTCCTCCACCCCTCCCCACCCCTCCTCACCGCCCTCCCCTCCCCTCTCCCCAACCCCCTCCAACCCCACCTCACCCCTCAGCACACCCCCTTGCGAAAACTTCAACCCTCGGGAACCCACCACCTCTTGCCACTTAGCTAAAAGCCGCTGCCTTTCCGCGAGCTCCAGCGGTCCCAGATACGCCAAACTAGCAGCTCTTAGCAAAGCGTCGCCTAAGCACGCTGCTGCCCGGCTCTTGAGCATCTCGCGCTGCTTCATCCAACGGTCACGCTCATATGTTAAGTCTTTGACCAGGCTGGCGGCGCGTTGCATGGCGAGCTTTGATTGGTGGATGTCGGCGCGCATGGCCTCACAGGCGGAGAGCAGGAGGGAGTGCTCTTCGCGGCATGCTTCCATGCGCTCCTCCAGATTGCCAATGGACTCCTGATGGGTGCAGAGCGGTGACGAGTGGTGCAGTGAGGGATACAATGGTGCAGGACGGTGAAGAGGGGTGGAGAGAGGTGAAAGGGAAGGGAGACAGGGAGGAATGAAGGACGGGTTAGGGGAATGTCGGCGCGCATGGCCTCGCAGGCGGAGAGGAGGAGAGAGTGCTCTTCTCTGCATGCTTCCATGCGCTCCTCCAGATTTCCGATGGATTCCTGATGGGTGCAGAGCGGTGAAGAAAGATGCAGTGCGGTGAAGAGCAGTGCAGAGTGGTGAAGGGTGGTGTGGGAGGGAAAAAGACAGGAAGACAGGGAGGGTTAGGGGGAGACCAGTCCGCATGGCATCACAGGAGAGCAGGAGAGAGTGCTCTTCCCTGCACGCTTCCATGCGCTCCTCCAGATTGCCAATGGACTCCTGATGGGTGCAATGCGGTGACAAGTGATGCAGTGAGGGATACCGTGGTGCAGTGCAGTGAAGAGGGGTCGTGAGAGGTGAAAGGGAGGAATGAAGGACGGGTTAGGGGAATGTCCGCTCGCATGGCCTCGCAGGCGGAGAGCAGGAGGGAGTGCTCTTTGCGGCAAGCTTCCATTCGCTCCTCCAGGTTGCCAATCGGTGGAGAGCGGTGAAGAAAGGTGCAGCGCGGTGAAGAGCAGCGCAGAGTGGTGAAGGGTGGTGTAGGAGGGAAAAAGACAGGAAGGAAGACAGGAGGGTCAGGGGAATGTCGGCGCGCATGGCTGCACAGGCGGAGAGCAGGAGGGAGTGCTCTTCGCGGCAAGCTTCCATTCGCTCCTCCAGATTGCCAATGGATTCCTGATGGGTGAAGAGTGGTGAAGAGTGGTGCAGTGCGGTGAAGAGCGGTGCAAGGTGGCAGGGGGGGAGGAAGACAGGGAGAGTTAGGGAAGTTGGAGTGCATGGCCTCACAGGTGGAGAGCAGGAGGGAGTGCTCTTAGCGGCACGCCTCCACGCGCTCCTCTAGAGATCCGATGGACCCCTGATGGGTGAGAAATGGTTGGTAACAATCAAGCAGCCACTGGTAACCAGGCAGTGATAACCACACACTCACACCCACCTGCATGAGCTTCAACTCTTCCACCATGCTGCCCACCTCTCCCTGAAATTACAGTGCACTGGTGGTAACCACACTGGTAACCACACATACACAAACCCACACTTTCACCCACCTGCACGTGCTTCAGCTCTTCCGCCATGCTGCCTGCCTCCCCCTCCAGCTGCTCCATCTCGTCCCGCATGGGCTGCACGGCCCTCAGGATCACCCACAAGCAGCAGCCACTGGTAACCAGGCAGTGGTAACCACACTGTTGGTAACCACACTGGTGGTAACCACACACTCATTCTCACTCACCTGCACGTGTTTCAACTCCTCTGCCATGCTGCCCGCCTCCCCCTCCAGCTGCTCCATCTCGTCCCGCATGGGCTGCACGGCCCTCAGAATTTCCCCATACTGCACCGCTGCTTCCAACCACGAGAAGAGTGGACCGCACGCCTTGCTCGCCCTGAAAGGAGACGGGAGATATGGGAGAGGGGACGAGAAGGCAGTAGGAAGATCAGAATCTCGTCCCTCATGGGCTGCACGGCCCTCAGGATCTCACCGTACTGCACCGCTGCCTCTAACCACGAGAACAGCGTCAAAGGAAATGGCACTTTGCGCTTCACTTTCAGGAGCAAGAAATGGGCGCGTACCTGCGCTGCGCTCACTACAGATTTCCAACTCACGTGTTAACAGCGTAAAAGGAGATCACCCGTGCGTCTAGGTACTCTCTCCTCACGCGCAGCACTGGATGGAGGGGTCTAGGGTACATGCTTTCTGCAGTAAGTGCTTTGGTTCACCTCACATCCTGCCCCGTACCCCCCCACCCATATTGGATGGAATCAGCTCACCTGTTAACAGCATCAAAGGAGATCACCCGTGCGTCCAGGTATTCCCGCTTCACGCGCAGCACCAGCACGGGGTCGATGGCCTCCATGTCGCATCCCATCCCAGTGTACTGGGGCTGTTTCTTGGAAGCACTAGATGGGTTCAGCAAGCGTGCTCACCTGTTGACAGCATCAAATGAGATCACGCGCGCATCCAGGTACTCTCGCTTCACCCGCAGCACCAGCACGGGGTCTATCTATGGCCTCCATAGTGCATGCACATAGCTTACCTATCGATGGTTTCCCAAGGCCTCTCACCTGTTCACGGCATCAAAGGAGATGACCCGTGCGTCCAGGTACTCTCTCATCACGCGCAGCACCAGCAAGGGGTCTATCTATGGCCTCCATAGTGCATGCACACAGCTTACTTATCGATGGTTTCCCAAGGCCGCTCACCTGTTAACAGCATCAAATGAGATCACTCGTGCGTCCAAATACTCTCTCTTCACACGCAGCACCAGGGTCGGGTCGATGGCCTCCATATCGCATCCCAATATAGAGATGCTGCTAGTACTGACCACAGCTACTACCATTCACCACGCATTGCCTCTCACCTGTTAACAGCAACGAAGGAGATCACTCGCGCGTCCAGGTACTCCCGCTTCACGCGCAGCACTAGCACGGGGTCTATGGCCTCCATATCGCAGTGCATCCCAGTGACCATTACCACGGTTTTTCCACACAGGGCTCTCACCTGTTAACGGCATCGAAGGAGATCACTCGCGCATCTAAATACTCTCGCGTAACCCGCAGCACCAGCACGGGGTCGATGGCCTCCATATCGCATGCCATAGCATTTTAGAGCAGAACACTGCTTCCATTTACCATGCACTGACTCTCTCTCACCTGTTAACAGCATCAAATGAGATCACTCGCGCGATTAGATACTCCCGCTTCACCCGCAGCACCAGCACGGGGTCTATGGCCCCCATAGTGCATGCACACAGCTCACGTATTGACGGTGCCCAATGCTCTCACCTGTTCACAGCATCAAAGGAGATAACTCGTGCATCCAAATACTCTCGCTTAACCCGCAGCACCAGCACGGGGTCTATGGCCTCCATGTCGCATCCCAGTATAGAGGGGATGAAGTCGTTGCGTCGCACCACCGAAAGAATGCCCTGCCACGTGGTGGGCTTTAAACCCGTCAGCAGCAGACACACGCCTTCGAGTGTCTGTTGTAAGAGGGTGGGGTGGGGTGTGAAGTAGGAGGGGGAGTGGAGGGGATGAAGTCGATTCGCCGCACCACCGAAAGAATGCCCTGCCACGTGGTGGGCTTTAAACCCGTCAGCAGCAGACACACGCCTTCGAGTGTCTGTTGTAAGAGGGTGGGGTGGGGTGTGAAGTAGGAGGGGGAGTGGAGGGGATGAAGTCGATTCGCCGCACCACCGAAAGAATGCCCTGCCACGTGGTGGGCTTTAAACCCGTCAGCAGCAGACACACGCCTTCGAGTGTCTGTTGTAAGAGGGTGGGGTGGGGTGTGAAGTAGGAGGGGGAGTGGAGGGGATGAAGTCGATTCGCCGCACCACCGAGAGAATGCCCTGCCACACGGTGGGCTTTAAGCCCGTCAGGAGCAGACACACTCCCTCCAGGGTCTGTTGTTGTGGGGGTGGTGGAGGGGGTATTGGAGTGGAGGAGAGAGGAGGGGAGTGCATGGATGGGATGAAGTCGTTTCGCCGCACCACCGAGAGAATGCCCTGCTACGTGGTGGGCTTTAAACCCGTCAGCAGCAGACACACGCCTTCGAGTGTCTGTTGTAAGAGGGTGGGGTGGGGTGTGAAGTAGGAGGGGGAGTGGAGGGGATGAAGTCGATTCGCCGCACCACCGAAAGAATGCCCTGCCACGTGGTGGGCTTTAAACCCGTCAGCAGCAGACACACGCCTTCGAGTGTCTGTTGTAAGAGGGTGGGGTGGGGTGTGAAGTAGGAGGGGGAGTGGAGGGGATGAAGTCGATTCGCCGCACCACCGAGAGAATGCCCTGCCACACGGTGGGCTTTAAGCCCGTCAGGAGCAGACACACTCCCTCCAGGGTCTGTTGTTGTGGGGGTGGTGGAGGGGGTATTGGAGTGGAGGAGAGAGGAGGGGAGTGCATGGATGGGATGAAGTCGTTTCGCCGCACCACCGAGAGAATGCCCTGCTACGTGGTGGGCTTTAAACCATACATACACCCTCCTGAGCAGGCTCACACAGGCAGACACAGGCAGGCACTGGCGTACACGCACACACCAGCAACCACTCACAAGTTTTAAGGCACTGGGAGGATTCGGCATGGCTTTCAAGTCATCCAGCTGCGACTTTCTGATCGACTTCACCACCCTCTTGCTTGCTTTGCCCCTCTTTAACACACACACTCAGCCACTCACCAGCTTGATCGCACTGGGAGGATTCGGCATGGCCTTCAAATCGTCAAGCTGGGACTTCCTGATCGACTTCACCGCCGTTTTCTGAGCAGACTAGCACAGGCTTTCACATGCACGCACAGCACACCAGCAACCACTCACTAGTTTGATGGCGCTCGGTGGATTCGGCATGGCCTTCAAATCGTCCAGCTGGGACTTTCTTATGGATTTCACCGCCGTCTTGGCCGCCTCAACCGCCGGCTCCACGCGCTCCAGATTCTCCTGCACCTCCCGCCTGTGCCGCTCCACGCTCCTCGCCTCCCAACTCACTCAAGTCAACCCATACACCCTCCTGAGCAGGCCCACACAGGCAGACACAGGCGAGCTTACCCATTCATCATGAGGCACTCACCAACTTGATCGCGCTCGGTGGATTCGGCATCGCTTTCAAATCATCCAGCTGAGATTTCCTAATTGACTTGACTGCTGTCTTGGCCGCCTCAACCGCCGGCTCCACGCGCTCCAGATTCTCCTGCGCCTCCCGCCTGTGCCGCTCCACGCTCTAGATTCACTCCAATCAACTTGCAGGCTAAACAGGCATACAAAGGCGCTCACATACATGCATACAGAAGCTCTTACCAGCTTGATCGCACTGGGCGGGTTGGGCATGGCCTTCAAATCATCCAGCTGAGATTTCCTAATTGACTTGACTGCTGTCTTGGCCGCTTCAACCGCCGGCTCCACGCGTTCCAGATTCTCCTGCGCCTCCCGCCTGTGCCTCTCCACGCTCCTCGCCTGCTCGTCCAGCCTCGCAATCAGCCCCTGGGCCTCCGCCCTCTGCCTCTCCCCCAACGCCTGCTCCGCCGCAATCTGCTGCAACTTCCCGTTCGCCGCGGCTTCTTTCACCTCGAGTTCCTTCGATTTGAGTTCTAAGTGTTTTCGGAGGAGTACCACGCGATGCTCTGCGGCGGTGACCTTTGTGAGGCCCAGGGAGAGGTGCTGGAAGGTGCGGTGTGCGCGGCGGTGGGAATGGGAGACGGAGGAGTGGAAGTGAGTGAGGAGGTCTGAGAAGGAGCGGAGGGAGATGAGGGAATCTGGGGAGAACGAATGCTGCAAGCTCCCCTCCTGTTGCTGCTGCTGCTCCCCTCCCAGCCCAGCCTTCCCAAAAGCTCTGTTATTGAGCGACTCGCTAACAGCACTAACAGCGCAGCCATGAATCGCCACCAGAAGCTCCGCCAGCAACTGCCTCTCCTTCGCTTCCCCAGAACCACCACCAGCAGCACCACCACTCGCAGCACCAGCAGCAGCACCACCACTCCTGGCATCAGCCAAAACATTACTCTGCTCCGAATCTCCTCCCGCTCCTCCCGCTCCTCCCGCTCCTCCTGTGCCTCCGCCTGCTGCTGCTGCTGCTGCTGCCGCTGCAGCCGAGACAGGGTGAACGAGCGACACACCAGCGAGTCTGCACCGAGCAAGCGGCGCCAAGCTCGCGTCCCCCCAGGGCGGCAGCCAGAGCACGGTGCAGCGGTTGAAGAGAGCCGGCGACGCCAGCATGCTGTGCCGCATGTGCGCGCTGCCCTGGCTGGTCATTGTTAGTATTACGTGCAGATTCCCTTGCACCCTCCTTCTAAAGGCTGCCCATATTACCTCCTCGTTTCCCTCTGCCTCGCCAGCCAATTGCAGGGCTTCCAATAGCTCCTGCAGGGGAAGAGGGTTCCAGAGTACGGAGGGTTTGGGTTTCAGGGAAGACCGGTTGGGGTTCAGGGTGTGCCTCAGCTGCTTCACCTGCTGCACTTCTGCCCCAAACAGCTCGAAAACCTCCTCTCAAGCACTGCCCTTACGACTGCTCACAATCCTCACCTCACCTGCTGCTTCTCTGCGCCAAACATCTCCCCCTGTCAGCGAGTTGAGCCTCTCCAAGACAGCACTCTCCATCACATGCCCTACCTATTTGTTGCCTTCTGGAAGGACTCAAATCTACTGGCTGTGCAATACCACCATCACCTAAACCCCCCCTCTCACCTGCTGCTTCTCCGCTCCAAACAGCCCAAGCACATCCCCCCCTGTCAGCAATGAGTTGAGCCTCTCCAAAACCGCGCTCTCCACCAGATGCGCCTCCTCCAGAAGAAGACAAACGCGCCGCCCGTCGCACCCCGCCGCCCGCAGCGCCTCCTCCAGCGGACCGTCCAGCTGGCGCTCCTCGAACCCCGCGTGCAGCGCCACCCGAACCTCCACCAATCCCGTCGCAGCGATTGCCGACCTGCGAGCATGTGATTGGCCAGCAAGGGTGATGAGGAGGAGAGGAGAGGGAGGCACTTAGGGTTTAGGGGGGAAACCAAGGGAGAACCTCGAATCCCGCGTGCAGTGCCACCCGCACCTCCACCAATACCGTCGCAGCGATTGCATACCTGTGTGAATGCGATTGGGCACTGAGAGTGGAGAGGAAGAGAGGGAGTCACCACAGCACACACACGCACACACACACGCACACACACACAAAGTCACACAGACAGACAGAAATGCCTCACACCCACCTGCATGAATGCATTGGGCACTGAGAGTGGAGAGGAAGAGAGGGAGTCACCACAGCACACACACGCACACACACGCACACACACACACACGCACGCACGCACACAAAGTCACACAGACGACTTTTGAGACGTCTCAAAAGCGATGAGGAAGAGAGGGAGTCACCACGGGGCACACAAGCAAACACACACACACGCACACACACAAAGTCACACATACAAACAGAAATGCCTCACACCCACCTGGCAACAGTCGACTTTCCAGTGGCAGGTGGCGCCAGCAGCAGCAGATGCCCCATGGGCTGCTGCAGCAGCACCGATGCCGCCCTCACCACCGCACACACAAACTTACACACACACACCCACGGACACACAAGCACACACAGACACCAACAGAGACGCTTCGCACCCACCTGGCAACAGTAGACTTTCCAGTGGCAGGAGGGCCTAGCAGCAACAGATGCCCCATGGGCTGCTGCAGCACAGATGCTGCTCTCACCACCGCACGCACAAGCTCATGCACACACACTCATTCACTAAGCTCTAACTTTTAAACTCAACACTAGACCCAAACCATCATGAAACCCAGACCCTGAACCCACCTGGCAACAGTCGATTTCCCAGTTGCAGGAGGACCAAGCAGCAGCAGATGCCCCATGGGGTACTGCAGCACCGATGCTGCTCTCACCACCGCACACACAAACACGCACACACACCCACGGACACACAAGCACACACCAACACCAACAGAGACGCTTCACACCCACCTGGCAACAGTCGACTTTCCAGTCGCAGGCGGCCCCAGCAGCAGCAGATGCCCCATGGGCTGCTGCAGCACAGACGCTGCTCTCACCACCGCACACACAAACATGCACACAATTGCTTCACCACTACTCTCTAACCTCCCTCCCTAAACCCAAACCCCAAACCCACCTGGCAACAGTAGATTTTCCAGTAGCAGGCGGCCCCAGCAGCAGAAGGTGTCCCATGGGCTGCTGCAGTACCGATGCTGCTCTCACCACCGCACACACAAACTCATCTGTCAGTACGACCTCCCCTGCTTGCACCTCCCCTGCATCCACCTCCCCCTTCTCCACCCCTAATTCTTCCAATTCCTCCAGAACTTTCCTCCCCGTTTCCTCCTCCACCTCTCCTGCCCTGCTTCCTGCCGCCCGCTTGCCTGCTCCTCCTCTCCTGTCCCCGCCCTTTTCTGTTACCCCACCACCTGAAGAAACACTTGGTTTCACCTGGCCGGCACCTGCCCCTCCTGCAGCATCCGGGGCCTCCCCTGTCAAGGCCCACTTCAGGTGCTTTTTCAGGTGGCTCACTGCACATGGCTCGTACCGTCCCGTCAGAAGAGACGAAAACACCAACCGGCTCGGGTCGGCAGGTAGTGAGAAAGGCACAGCAGGAACACCATCAGCAACACCATCAGCAGCAGCAACAGAATTCCCTGTACTCGTCATAAGTGTGTTCCCTACAAGTGGCACCAGCACCGGGAGTATCTTATCCTTTGCCACCCGCAAAAGCAGCTTTGCCGTCCATTCCCGTTCCTCCTCCCCCACCAGCCTATCATACCAGATCCGCATCCCCTCATGCAGCCACATCAGGACAAGCCTTCCCGCCCAGCTGCTCTCCCCCTCACCACCAATAGCAGCACCCCCAGCGCCTGTATGTGCACTTGTTGCTCCAACCACCCCCACACCACCACCCAATCTCGCACCACCTGCACTCACACGCCCCTTACCACTCTTCCCACTCACTCCACCCTTGTCACCCCTCTCAACCACCCCTTTCTCCGCCCGCTCCCCTCCCGCCCCACCCGCCCCACCCGCACCCCTCTTAACCGCTTTCTGCCCATGCACAAGAGCGAATCGGATCCCTCTAGTCCACCTGGTGAGTTCCCTAGGACTGCACACATAGTGCTGCTGCACTGCCCGAGTGAACCGCACCCCGCACGCCTCATACACCTCCACCATCGCCGCTGCCAGACACGCGCCCACCTGAGAAACCACCTGAGAATCCACCTGAGAAACCACCTGAGAATCCACCTGCGCCTCCGCTGCCACCCCAGGCCCGTACCGGGCCAATATCCCCCTTATAAACGTGCTGTAGATCCTTGTAAGAGCCGCGCCAGACGGGAACGGAACATGCGCAACAGTGAGGTGCCTTGTAAGGCGTACAGGCAGTTCATGCCTGCCCACATCTGAAGCGGGATTGCAGGTCGCTGCAAATGACACCCGCCTCAGTTGCACCCAAACACGCCTCTTCGGATGCCAAAACCCATACGCATACCCACTCCCTCCGCTGCTGCTACTACCACCGCTAGCACCAGTGCTGCCTCCAACGCTCGCACCACCATCACCACCGCTTCCACCATCACTGCTGCTGGTGTTACTGCCGCCCGCCCCGCCACCCCACTGCTGCCCCGCCGCCTGCGGAATCAGCTGCGGCTCCGCTAGCTGCCGAAGCAGGCCGGCCATGCGGATGGTGCCGAAAGCATCAGGGGCGGGGAGATTCACCTCATCTAGCAACAGCAGCAGACGACCGTCAGCAGGCACTGGTTCCTTGGGCTCTAGAGCCCAATTGACGCTGGGAGTGGCAGCTGCTGCCATTGCTGCTGCTGTTGCTGATGTTTCCTGTGACCCACCAGCAGCACCAGCGCCACCAGCACCTGTAACAGCAGCAGCAGCAGCAACAACACCAGCACCACGGGCGCCCCCAGAAGAACCACCACCAGGGAGCTTGACGTAGCGGCAGTGCTGCTCCAGCTCGGCGATAAACGACTCGGGAGACGTTGACAGCGACAAATTGAAAGCTGCCACGTGGAGCTTTGGCCCTGCCGCTGCTGCTGCCTCGCTCTCCGCTGCTTGCTTGCTCCCTGATTGCTGCTGCTGCGAAAGTTTCTCCTTTCGCTGATGCATCGCCATCCCACCACCACCACCAGCGCCAGCAGAAGCAGCTGCAGTTAAACCAACACCACCAGCAGCACCAGCTGCAGCAGCAGCGGCGGCAGCAGCAGCCTGTGCCTCGTCCGCACCAGCAGCAGCCAATGCCTGCGCGACAGCTGTCAGCGCGAGGGTCTTCCCACTGCCAGGCGGGCCACACAGCAAGATGGGCTGTGATTGGGCGAGACTGGCTCTGATTACCGCACCCAACCGTTCTGTCTCTGCTGTGGGAATGACGGTGGTCGAGTCTATCCCCCCTCCTGCTCCTGCTGCTCCTCCTGCTCCTGCTGCTCCCCTTACCCCTCCTGATCCTCCCCTTCCTTCCTTTCCTGCCTTCCCTGCTACACCCTTTGTCTGTCTACCCTGCTTTGTAACACCCACACTGCCATTGCTCCGACCAGCAGCAGCAGCACTTCCCCTTCTGTAACTCATACTCCTCTCCTCCTCCCCCACACTTCCCTCCTCTCCCTCCTCCTCCTCTTCCTCCTCCCCAAAACACCCCCCAACAGCCGCATCAGCATCAGCCAACCCCGGCAGAGCCGCCTCCCACGGCTTCCAATGGCCGCTCGCCACGTCAGCGAAACAGCTCAGCAGCTGCTCTGACGTGGCACGGCATGCCACGTCATCCTTCGCCCCACCCTCAGACGCCAAAATACCAGCTAATCTGTGTGCAAAGGCAGAGCGAGAGGTAACATTCATTCCCCCTGCAACCAATGCCATAATCGCCTCTACCATTGCTTTCCTGGTAAATCTCCCCACCACCGCCATCGACCCATTCGCACCTCCCTTTACTCCCCCTTCAACGCTCCGCACACCTGCTGCTTCAAGCGCGTCGCTCTTGGAAGGCGTGGCTTGGGAGGCGGAGGTTTGGCAGAGGTCCGAGGTTCGGTAACAGTAGTACAGGAACACCGAACGAAGAGCACGCATGGAGTCAAAGGGAATGGAATCTGCCTCGGCCGAACCTGCAGCTGTAACGATTTTACCACTGGCAGCGCTGGCACCATTGGCACCAGTAGCAGCGCCACTGACAGCAGCAGCGGCCTCCAGAGCCTGCTGTAGCAGCCCGCCGGGCTGTAGCGCGGCCAGCGCTACAGCCAGCACCGGCTGTAGCAGCGGCTGTGGCAGGCCAGGTGGCAGCAGCTCCAGATGCTCGTCTGGCGCGTCAATCCCGAGGGAGAGGCGCGAGGGGAGGAAGAGAGGCGCGGAGAAGAGCGAGGAGGTGAGAGAGGAGGAGAGCGAGGAGTGGGAGGAGTGGGAGGAAGAGAGAGTAGTGGTGGTGGTAGTGGGGATAGCTGGTGCTGGTGCTGTTGCGGTTGAGATAGTGGAAGGGAGAGGGGAAAGAGAGGAAGAGGAGGGGGAGGAGGAGGAGGGTGGGGGGAAGGGCATGGGGGGGAGGAGGAAGCGGAAGCGGTGGAGGAGCATGGGGAGGGAGAGGAGGGCGGGAGGGAAGCAGACCACTCCGAGGCGAGAGATGGTGGCGGGAGTGGCGTGGGCGAGAGAGGGGCACTCGAATATGCAGTGCATGTGAGGGAGGAGAGGGAGGCGCTCTCCTGTTGGTAGAGTCATGACCTGACGGGTAGCAAGGGGTGGGGAGAGGGGGTGAAGGATTTAAGAGGAGAAAGGGAAGGGCGAATGGGCAGAGTGGAAGGGTGGAAGGGAAGAGGGGCACTCGAATATGCAGTGCATGTGAGGGAGGAGCGGAAGGCGCTCCTCTGTGGGAAGAGTCATGACCTGATAATCAGGGGAAGGGGAGGACAGGGGCGGTAGAGGGGAAGAGTGGAAGGGTGAGACGGGGCACTCGAATATGCAGTGCATGTGAGGGAGGAGAGGCAGGCGCTCCCCTGTGGGTAGAGTCATGACCTGAATGTCAGGGGAAGGGGAGGACAGGGGCGGTACGGTAGAGGGGAAAAGGGGAAGAGCAGAGGGATGTAGTGAAGTTTTGAGAATTCTCAAAAATTCACTACATGTCAGGGGAAGGGGAGGACACAGGCGGTACGGTAGAGGGGAAAAGGGGAAGAGCAGAGGGACAAGAGTGGTGTGAGAGAGAGAGGACCATTTCAGACACGGGGGAGGAGAAATTTTACTTTTGAGAGTTCTCAAAAGGCTCTAGACGATCTCAGGTGGGTACGCCCATGTTTGTCACATGGCCCAACAACTTCCTCTTTACTAGCAACCTTGCTCTCTCACCTTGTTGTTATCATCCAGCAGTGAGTTGAGCGTTTCAATCCAGATGGGGTCAACCTCCCCGTCGAACACAGAAAAGTGCCTCTGCCACCCTGCCTTCCTGCATCGCCCCTCCCTGTATTCTTCCCCTTTCTCACCGTGTTGCTCGCTACCTCACTTTGTTATCGTCCAGCAGCAAGTTGAGCGTCTCAACTCAGATGGAGCCAACTTCCCGTCAAACAAAAACCAGTGCCCCTGCCTCCCCGCCTCAACCATATGTGAGTCACCTCCCTGCATTGGCCGTTCACGCCTGCCCCCTCTGTGCATTGCTCCCCCCATTGCTTACCTTGTTATCATCCAGCAGTGAGTTGAGAGTCTCGATCCAGATGGGATCAACCTCCCCATCAAACACAAACCAGTGCCGCCGCCGCCACTCCACGCCCCTCCCTGCATTCCCTCCTGTTCCTTGCTGCATCCCCACCCCCTCGCCCTCCTCCCCCTCTCCTTCCACCCCCTCTCTTCCCGCCTCCTGCTCCCTCTCCTCCTCGTACTCCCTCACAACAGCCCTTAAAGCCCGTGTGAACACGCCGTCCTGCCACTCCCGGGTGGTCGCTTCAACGCTCCCAAACAGTGCCTCCTTGGACAGACTCTTGGGATCCACCACTGTTACCGACACCTGCACGCCTTGCGATGACTCCAGGGCCTTGCGCAGCACTGCACACAGGGAAATGAGGAGGGAGAAGAAGAAGAGGGTGGTGGCCTCTACGCTCCCAAACAGCGCCTCCTTGGAGAGACTCTTGGGATCAACCACTGTCACCGACACCTGCACGCCGCTTGTCACTTCTAAGGCCTTACGCAGCACTGCACACAGGGAGGAGAGACAAGAAGGAAGAAGGAGGGGGAGGGAAGAGGCTTGGGTGAACACGCCGTCCTGCCACTCCACTCCCGCGTGGTGGCCTCTACACTCCCAAACAACGCCTCCTTGGAGAGACTCTTGGGGTCAACCACTGTCACTGACACCTGCACTTCCTGTGATGACTGTAAGGCCTCACGCAGCACTGCAGACAGGGATGGTAGAGAAAAGGGGGGAGAGGGAAGAGGCTTGGGTGAACACACCGTCCTGCCACCCACCCTACCCATCCCCACCCCTCCTCACCTCGCCAAGCAGTGGTCTTCCCAGCAGGCGGCCCAACCAGCATGATCCCCTGATGCAGCCCCATCAGCCTCGCCACCACCCCAACATCATCCCTCCTCACCCCTTTCCACCCATCCCCACCCTATTCTTCCCCTCCCCAACCCATCTTCAACCCACTTCACCCCTACTCACCTCTCTAAGCTGTGGTCTTCCCAGCAGGCGGCCCCATCAGCATGATCCCCTGATGCAGCCCCATCAACCTCGCAATCACCCCAATATCATCCCTCCTCACCTCTTTCTACACATCCCCACGCCATTATCACCCCTCCCCGACCGATACTCACCCATCTCCACCCCTCTTAACCAGTTCTTACCTCTCCAAGCCGTTGTCTTCCCAGCAGGCGGGCCCACCAGCATGATCCCCTGATGCAGCCCCATCAGCCTCGCCATCTGCAGCACCTTCCTCGTCCAATCACAGCTCGCCACGTACCCCTCCCTCTCACACACCGCCTCCACCGCCGCTGCCAGCTCAGCGTCGCCCGTCTCCTCCACAGCCACGTCCGGAAGGTTCCGGGAAACCACCCCGCGGAAGGTTGCCACGTCAGCAGGTGCCAGCTTGGCTGCCAGCTGGCCAAAAATGCCCTGGACTAGGGAGCGTGTCTCCAACGGCCATCTCGACACACGGTGGGCCTCTTCGTCCTCTTCCTCCCCACCTTCCTCCTCCTCTTCCGCCTCTATCTCCTCCTTTACCTCCTCTATCATGCCGTCCTCTCTCTCCCGCTCTCCCTCCTCTGTTTCCTCTACTTGCAATGCCTCCTCTCTCACCTCCGGTTTCACCCCTTCCTCTTCCTCCTCCTTCTCCTCCTCCTGCCTCCCCGCCTCCTTCCCTTCGTCTTCTTCCCCTTCCTCCCCATCTTCTGCCTCATAAAACTCCTCTTTCTCCTCTTCCACAAATCCCTCCTCCTCACCCTTCCCTTGTATCTCGCCCTCACTCACACCCTCTTCCCCATTCCTCCCCTTACTCTCACCCTCAATCAACCCCTCCATCTCACCTTCCCTTCCCTCACTCTCACCCTCACCTGCACCCCCTTCCAATTCCGTCTGTGCCAGCATGACAGATCTAGCGGACTTGAGAGCCGCTTTCAGCGCCCTCAGGCTGAAGTCGTACTGAGGCTGGGGTGCAAGGCACTGCTCCGACTCCTGTGGGGGGCAAGGTAATCAAAACGGATCAAGAGGAAGGAAGGGAATGGGGGAGTGAGAGAGCAGGCATGACAGATCTAGCAGACTTGAGAGCCGCTTTCAGCGCCCTCAGACTGAAGTCGTACTGAGGCTGGGGTGCAAGGCATTCCTCGGACTCCTGGATACAGGAGAGGGAGGGCAAGCGGGAAAGCACGGGAGACGGGGTGGGAGTGAGGGATTAAGTGAGGAACCTAGCAGATCCCAGAGCCGCTTTCAGCGCCCTCAGGCTGAAGTCGTACTGAGGCTGGGGTGCAAGGCACTGCTCCGACTCCTGTGGGGAAAGGTAGACCAAAGGGAGTGAAAAGGAAGGAAGGAAATGAAGGGTCGAGAGTGAGTCACAGACCTAGCAGACTTGAGAGCCGCTTTGAGCGCTCTCAGGCTGAAGTCGTACTGGAGCTGGGGGTCTGAGCACTGCTCCGATTCCTGAATAAGGCAAGGGCAGGCCAAGGGGACGAGAAGGGAGGGAGGGAGTGAGAAAACAGGCATAACAGACCTGGCAGATCTCAGAGCTGCTTTGAGCTGCTTTGCAGCAGGGGGGTGGCGACTGTGACTGTGCGCATGTGTGCTGCGTGCAGCTGTGGCTGCATGTGCGCATCACTTCAACATACCTGGAATATGCGAGTGGCAGCATCAGCCAGCCTCTCCACATGTGACAATCCACACGACAGCAGAGTCACATGTGCGATGGCGCACGCATCAGGCAACTGTGATGGTACGCATGTGTTTTTCTTGCGTGCGTGCGTGTATTGGTTCTGCATACCTGGAAGTTGCGAGTGGCAGCATCAGCCAGCCTCTCAGCATGCGAGAACCCGCACGACAGCAGAGTGACATGGGCGATGGCGCACGCATTAGGGACGGCGACTGCATCAGGGACGGCGACTGTAACTGTACTCATGTGTTTTGCGTTCGTGTGAGTCTGCATGTGCGTATCATTTCAGCATACCTGGAAGATTCGAGTGGCAGCATCGGCCAGCCTCTCAGCATGCGAAAACCCGCACGACAGCAGAGTCACATGGGCGATGGCGAGAGACTGACACTGTACACATTGTCTTGTGATGTATGCATGCCTGTGCATGCAGGCACACAGCATACCTGGAATATGTGCATATCATTCACACATACCTGGAATATGCGAGTGGCAGCATCAGCCAGCCTTTCTGCATGCGAGAAACCGCACGACAGCAGAGTGACATGGGCGATGGCGCACGCATCAGGGGTGGCGACTGTGACTGTACAGCCTGTACGCTTGTGTTTTGCGTGCGTGTGTGTCTGTATGTGCGTATGATACACACATACCTGGAAGATGCGGGTGGCAGCATCGGCCAGCCTCTCAGCATGCGAGAACCCACACGACAGCAGAGTCACATGGGCGATGGCGCACGCATCAGGGGTGGCGACTGTGACTGTACAGCCTGTACGCTTGTGTTTTGCGTGCGTGTGTGTCTGTATGTGCGTATGATACACACATACCTGGAAGATGCGGGTGGCAGCATCGGCCAGCCTCTCAGCATGCGAGAACCCACACGACAGCAGAGTCACATGGGCGATGGCGCATGCATCAGGGGTGGCGACTGTGAGGGGTCGCAGCAGAGCGGACAGGCTCTCAGGCAGGTGGTCCCTGCCTGCATAGCGCGGGTTGAGCGTCACGAATATGCCTGAGTGTGGGGGGTGGAGGGAGACACAGGAGGGGAAGGGCAGATTAGAGGCAGAAAAGTTCATCCTCCCGTTCACTCACCAGAGCACACACAGCAGAACCGGGAGAAGATTCTTCCACCCACTCACCACTGGCAGGATGCACGGGCACGGCAGCACCAGCCAACACGGCCTCCCTCCGTCCCTCCCTCAGCGCGCCCTGAATGGCCACCAGGTGTTGTGAAATCGCCGACATTGTGCTCTCATCCAACCTGTTGAATTCATCCATGCACCCCCACGCGCCCAGCCTCGCCACTCCCTCCAAAACCCTTCCCACTGCCGCACTGTCAAAGCTCCGATCACAGGATAACGCCAAAACCGGCCGCCCGAGCTGCCGCCCGAGCGCCTTCACCGTCTCCGTCTTCCCCGTGCCAGCTGGACCAATCAGAGCGCTGCCCTGCCCGTGCCAGAGCGCCTGGGAAAGTGCGAGGAAGCAGCGGTCTGTGAGGGAGGTGCGGACGAGGGAGGGAGTGCAACCAGAGTATTCAAACCCGTAGGTAAAAGAGGCGTCTGCGATTTGGACTGAGAGGCGGTGGAGTGGGGGGAGGGACGGGTCGAGGTAGTATCGGAGGCATTTTCGCCAGGCGAAGGAGGAGAGGGAGAGCCCGTGCTGCTTCCTCTCCTTCCACTTCAGATTCTGCCCCTGCCGTTGAATCTGCTTCTGCTGCTGATCCTGCTTCTGCTGATGCTGCTGTCCTGCACACCCCATATTCCCCTTATCCTCCTCCTCCTCCTCCTCCGCCTCTCCCCGTGCCTGCTCCTCCCGCTGCTCCACCAGCAGCGCCTTACTGCTCTCCAGCAGGTGAACCAGCACAGTAATCACCGCCTCACACTTCGCCTCCATCACCCTCCCCTCCTCGCCACCTGCGCTCCCCGCTACTCCCCCTGTTGCCCCCCCTGCCCCTTCCCTCCCTGTCCTACCTGCGCCACCTGCTAGCTCTCTCAGCTCCCTCACTGCACGAGCCAGCCACTGCAGCAGCCCCTCCAGCCCTCCCACCAGCGACTCTAGCCCCGCTTCCTTCCCGCCCCTCCCTTGCACCCCTCCCACTCCGCCCTCCCCTTCTCCTCTCTCGCCCTCTCCCTCTCCTCCCTCTCCTCCTCCTCCACCCTTTCCTCTTTCTCCACCCTCTCCTTCCTCCCCTCCCTCGCCTGCCAAAATTCCTTCAACCAATGTCGTCCAGCTCACTTGAAGAGCCAGCAGCGCCGGCTGCAGAGGCAGCTTCCCCAGCCACTCCAGGAACCTTCCTCCGTTCCTCCTGCTGCTACCGCCCAACCTCACTCCACTCCTCCTCACTCCTCCCACTGTCCCCTTCTTCCGGCTCCCTTTGCTCTTATCCCTCTTCCCAGCCCCAGCAGTCAACAGCCAATCACACGCCGCCAGCTCAGCGATCGCTGACACAACCAGGTCGCTGAGAGTCGTCCGCAGTGCCACGTCGAGATCCAGCAGCCACTTGGTGGCTCCTGCGGGCTTCTGCCCATCCGCTGACGTGGCATCCGCTGACGTGGCACCTGCTGACGTGGCACCCGCCGACGTGGCAGCTCCTTCCGCAAGCTCCACCGGTTGGTGCAGCACAAGCCTCTCTTCGTCCGAAAGAGCTGCGGTGATAAATACTCTCTTCCCCGCATCCACCGAAGGTGCTACTATATCCTCTGCCGCGCTGCTATCAGATACTGCCGATACTTCAATGCCCGAGACTGCTGTGAAGAGCTTGCGAATGTGCACGTGCACCTGGCAGGATGGGGAGAGGAGAGGGGGAGAATGGGGCGGTGAAGCAGATATGAGCTGAAGCAAATCTTCATTCCCCAGCATGCAGAAAGTACAGCCACTCGCACAAGCACTGGCACATGCACACACAAAAATACTCATACACAGGAAACCCCAAACTGAAACATACAGCAGAGAGGTCAGAGGGTGACGCAGACATGAGCTGCAGCAAATCGTCATCTCCCAGGAAGTACAGCCACTCGCACTCACACAAACACATACGCATACACCAATATTCTTACACATACACATAAACATACACACAAAGCCCCAGAATGATACATACAGCAGAAAGGTCTGAAGGCAATGCAGAGATGAGCTGCAGCAGATCATCATCTCTCAGGAAGTACACCCTCATCATACACATGAGCCATATTTGCACACATACACACACACACACAGACATACACACACACAGACAGAGAGATCATACACATATACGTACAGCAGAGAGATCTGAAGGGGAAGCAGATATGAGCTCGAGCAGATCGCCATCCCCCAGGAAGTACAGCCTTGGCAGCCCTCGTCATACACTTGAAACTTCAAACTCAAACTCACAGCTGACAGGTCTGTCTGAGGGCGATGCGGATATGAGCTGGAGCAGATCATTGTCTCCCAGGAAGTACAGCCTCAAAACCAAGTACCCAAACTCACAGCTGACAGGTCTGAAGGCGATGCAGAGATGAGCTGCAGCAGATCATCGTCGCCCAGGAAGTACAGCCTTGGCAGCATCCGCCTCTGTTTGTCCAGCACCCACCTCGCCATGCGCCTGAACCTCCAAAAGCCCCTCGCACCACCTATCACACACATGAGACCCCAGACTCAGACTTACAGCAGAGAGATCTGAAGGGGATGCAGAGATGAGCTGCAGCAGATCATCGTCGCCCAGGAAGTACAGCCTTGGCAGCATCCGCCTCTGCTTGTCCAGATGCGCCTGAACCTCCAAAAGCACCCGCCCAAACACCTCCGCACAAACCGCCAAAACCCGCCGGCCCGCTCCGTCGTCCTCTTCCGCCAGGCCCTCCAGGTCGATCGCGAGCGGGCGGGCAGCGAGCGAGCCCAAAAACCCCGTGAACGGCAGGGAAGCTTCGTGGAAGGCGCGGTGCGTGTCAGGTAGCATGGACCGGACGGCGGGTGACGTCATGAGTGCTTCCAAACGGACCCACTTGGATTGCGCGTCTGCTAGTGCGTCCACCAGCTCACTCAGCCGCCCGAGCCGCCCCTCCCACTCTCTCACAGCCTCTCTAAACGGCGGGAAGAAGGGAGACTGCTTCATTGCCCCCAGCATACTCAAATGCTCTAACACCATTTCCCCAACCACCCCTAAATTCCCCACAATCTTCCACTTGTCTCTAAACCCCTTAAACGCCCACTCCTGCTCGCCCCACTCCTTTTCAACCTTATCCATAAACTGTCTCAGAGCCACCTCCCCCTGTACGGCAGATAACACCTGCTCTGCCGCCGCCCGGCCCTCCAAGCCTCCCAGCGCCCGAACCAGATCCCGAACCTGGAGCGTACCTCCGGCGCCGAGCCCGCCCTTGGCTTGGAAACCCAAGGCTCGGGCGAGGGCTCTCCAATGGGCCTCTTGCAGTGAGGCTTTAACTAGCTTCGACACCAGACCTAGGCTGGCAATAAGTTTCCGGGCAGAGGACTGAACTGCCCGGAACGCGCCGTGCTGCCCGAAAGCTTCCTCTTCCTGATTCACGTCGCTCAAGGCGGAGTGCAGAGGGGTTAAGTCCGATTCAGGGTTGAAATCCGCAACCCTAATCCCCTCCACAGACGCAATAACATCCAAGAGTTGGTTAATCAACAGCCACATCCGCTGCATCTCCTCCCCCTCTGCAACCACCCTCTCCAACCTCCCCACCACTCTCCCCACCTCCTCCTCCTCCTCCTCCTCCTCCTCCTCCTCCTCCTCCTCCTCCCCCCCCTCCAACCAGCCCAATCGCTCTCCTCACGAGCTCTATCCTCGTTTCAAGCTGCCCCACTAAGCGTGCGCACTGCACCAGCGCGCCAGCAGCCCTGCCTCTGGAGCAATCCGCACTAGTAGGCGCAGCAGCGTCCCACCACGTCTCAATCTCCTCCATACACCTCCCCACCTCCCCCACATGCACCTGCATTGCACTCAACACCTGCACGCTCACAAGCCCCTGCAGGAAAATTACCCTGCTGGGACATCCCCCTGACACTGCTTCTACTCCCTTTCCTGCTGCTTCTGCTGATGCCACTCCCTCTCCCGAAACAGCCTTTCTTGCCCATTCCAGCTCTCCCCACTCCTTCTCCAGCTCTTTCCAGCTAGCCAGGACCAGCGTCACCCCAACACCAGCACCACTGCTCGTGCTACTGCGGCTGCTGCTGCTTCTCTCACTGCTACTGGTGCTACTGCTGCTTCTGCTGTTGCTGCTGTTACTCTTTGTTCCCCTGCCACTACCGCCTCCTACCCTAGCAACTGCCGCCTCTACCAGCGGCTTGAGTTTCTCCACTCTCTCACTCACCTCCACTACTCTCCTCTCCGCCTCCCTCACTCTCTCTAAATGCTCTATCAACCTCCGCACATCCCCACTCAACCCACCACTCTTACCAACACCACCATTACCCATAGCTGCCTGCTCCTCCTCTCCCTCCTCACCCTCCTCTCCCTCCTCTCCCCCATCTCCCTCCTCTCTCCCCTCTCCCTCCCTCGGTCGGACTTTCCTCTGCTCCCTTTCTCTCCCCATAACTTCCTCCTCTGCCTCCCTCTTAATCCCTTCTAATAGTTTCTTCAGCTCAAATACCTCTTCAACCGCCTCCCTACACCCCCGAACCGCCCGCCCTTCTATATCCTCCTCAGCCGCCCGTATCCAAGCCTCACACCGACCCACCAGTGCCTCTCTCACCGAGCCTGCGTCCAAGGCTAGGAGCGAGGTTCGGTCAGCAGCGCCGAACCTAACCAACGCAGGTTTGGCAGCCAGCTGGTTCCGAACCTGCTGAATCTCGTCTATAAGGGATCGCCAGAGATCAGTAGAAGAGGGAGGGAGGGAGGAGGCGGAACTTTTGCTAACAGCAGCAGGGGCAGCAGCAGAAGCAGCAGCAGCAGCAGCAGCAGCAGCAGCAGCTGCAGCAGCAGCAGCAGGAGCCGCAGCTGGAGCCACAGATGGGGCAGCAGAAGGGGCAGCAGCAGGGACCGCACCAGTCACAGCCGCCGCAGCTGAGGCAGAAGCGGCGGCCACAGCAGCAGCAGCAGCAGCAGCAGCGGGCGCATCTCTCTAACTTCCCCTCAGCCTGCGCCACACTCACCCTCCACTCGCCCACCCACCCCTCAGCCGCCCCAACCAACGCATCCACCACCCCATACGCACACGCCTCCAGCCGAGCCGGCACCACACAGCTCACAGCTAACACACTCCCCACCCCAGCCCCCCCCCTCGCTGTGCTGTGACAGCTACCCGCACTGACGCTGCTGCTACTGCTGACGTCGCTGAAATTACCGGCAGCCGTGGGGGTGACATCAGCAGGAGGGAAAGCGGCAGAGGCAGGAAGCTGGAGAGCAGCAGAGGCAGAGGAGAGTACACTATTGGCCTCTGCAGCAGCAGAGAGGGCGGGGGCGAGCAACAGCTGAATACAGTCCTGCAACCGCTGCTGTGACTCGGAGAGAGGAGGCTGTACCTCTATCTCCATCCTCCCGCCTGCTCCTGCCCCTGCGCGTGTGCCTATCCCTGCATCAGCAACCCCTGTCCCTGACTCGATTCTCCCCTTCACAGCCACTCGGTGCGTCAGCATCCCCATCTGCTCCTGAAGCAGCTGCAGCACAAACGACTCAGTCTCACTCCCATCTTCCCCCTTCAAATCTCCTCCCACTACCCCTGTCGCCCCTGCCGCCCCTGCTGCCCCTACTGCGTCTGCTCCCCCGCCTGCGCGCTCCTCTCCTGTAACAGAGGGCTTATGCATTGAGAGCACAGCCTCAATCTCTCTCCCCACTGCCTGCAGACTACCACGCTCAGGAGCAGGGGCAGGACCAGCCGCAGCAGTTGTAGCAGCAGTAGCACCTGTGGCGGCTGTAGCAGCAGTAGATTCTCCTCCAATCACGTCCTTCCATTTCTTCAGCCAGCAGCAGAGCGCTGACGTCAGCTTCTGCTGCAGTACCGCCTGTGCTTGCATCAGCAGTGGGGCCGCCCACGTGGCAGCCACCTCACGCTGCCACTCTGCTGACATGGCAGCTGACGTGGCAGCCGGGTATGGCGGCCGAGAGATTGCTGCGATCACCGCATGCGCCAGCTGGCGCAGATGAGTTGGCAAGTCCTGATTCGGTGAGAGAGGATGGAAGAAGAAAAGAGATGATGGAGAAGATTTGAAGGTTGGACGCTTTGTGCTGTTAGACAAAACCCTTCAAAACAATCTCATGTTTCGGCAATGCCATGCAGCATCATGCCTCCTCCTTGGTCGCAGCAGCAGAAGTAGCAGAGCAGGCTTAGAGGCTCTCACCTTATAGACTTAGCAGCTCCTGTAAGCTCTCACCTTGTAGGCACACGATCGGATTCGCTCAAGGCACTGCCACGCCGCGTCATGCCTCTCCTTGGCCGCAGCAGCAGCGGCTGAAAACGCCTCCACAGCATCCCACAGGCACACACCTGGTAAGCACACACCGGCACTTAAACCACCAGCTCTCACCTTGTAAGCACACGATTGAACGCGCTGCCTCGTGCCTCTCCTCGGCAGCAGTAGCAGCAGAAGCAGTGGCAGAGCAGGCTTAGAGGCTCTCACCTTGTAAGCACACGATCGGATGCGTTCAAGGCACTGCCACGCCGCCTCGTGCCTCTCCTTGGCCGCAGCAGCAGCGGCTGAAAACGCCTCCACAGCATCCCACAGGCACACTGCGAACTCGCCCACCTCGTCCTTTGAGGTGCCTCAAAACCTCCTCCCACACCACCAGCCAATCATCATTACTCACCTTGTAGGCACACGACCGAATAAGCTCAAGGCACTGCCACGCTGCATCGTGCCTCTCCTTGGCTGCAGCCGCGGCAGCTGAAAACGCCTCAGCATCCCACAGACACACCGCGAATTCGTCCACCTCGTCCTCTGAGGTGCCTCAAAAGCCTCGTCCCAAACCACCAGCCAATCACCAGCGCTCACCTTATAGGCACACGATCGGACGCGCTGCAGGCACTGCCATGCCGCGTCGTGCCTCTCCCTGGCTGCAGCAGCAGCGGCTGAAAACGCCTCCACTGCATCCCACAAACACACTGCAAACTCATCCACCTCGTCCTCCTCCTCCCACACCACGCCCTGGCCTGTAATGATGGGGGTTGAGGAAGCAAGGGAACAAGAGGGGAATTCAGGATTCAAAAGGGAGGTGTGACTGAGACACCAAACCCCCTCCACTGCATCCCACAGGCACACTGCAAACTCATCCACCTCGTCCTCCTCCTCCCACACCACGCCCTGGCCTGCAGTGGAGGGGAGTGGAGAAAGGGCGAGGTGAAAAAGGCAGCACTGCTGCCCTTAACGCGCACCAGTTGTGCACTCACCACTCTGCATGATTCCAACACCAACCCTGAGTGCTTCCCTTGACGCAGCCACCAGCGCCAGCACGCCCTTGCGGACTAACCCGTGCAGATTGCCAAGAACGACCTTCCTGCCATGCAGAACCCCTTACCACCACTCTCCCTTACCCCCAACCCCTTCTTACCGCTCTACAATCATGACTCACCGCTCTGCATGATCCCCAGCCCTGTCTTACCGTTCTGCATGATCCCCAACCCCTTCTCACCGCTCTGCATTATCCCCAGCACCGCTTCCCTTGACGCCGCCACCAGCGGCAGCACGCCCTCGCTGACGCCAGCGCTGACGTCAGCGAAGCTCTCGAGCGCGCGAGAGATGGTGGAGGCGGAGGAGGCGGCGGCAGAGGCGGAGAGGGCGCAGGCGAGCAGGTGGTGCGGGATGTGGAAGCCTGAGGCTCGAAGGATGCGCACTTCCTCGCTCAAGTGAAGGAGACTTGCCTTGTACTGCACCTGGTGGGGATGATGGGGGACAGGGAGGAGCAGCAGAGGCGGAGAGGGCGCAGGCGAGCAGGTGGTGGGGGATGTGGAAGCCGGATGCTCTGAGGGAGCGAACCTCCTCACTTAAATCTAGCAGGCTCGCCTTGTACTGCACCTGGTGGGAGAGAGGCGACATAGGGAGCAGACAGGCACGGCAGAGGGGCAAGGGGCAGAGGGGAAGGAGGGAAGGGGGTCAGGTAGATGGCAAGGGGCAGGAGGAGAGAGATGGTGCTCGTGAGATGGTGGAGGCGGAGGAGGCGGCGGCAGAGGCGGAGAGGGCGCAGGCGAGCAGGTGGTGGGGGATGTGGAAGCCGGATGCTCGAAGGGTGCAGACTTCCTCGCTCAAATGGAGGAGGCTCGCCTTGTACTGCACCTATTGAAGTAACTTTTGAGAATTCTCAAAAGTGATTTCAGTATAGCCCTCGTACTGCACCTGAGGGGATGATGGGGGGAAGGGCGGGTGACAGGTGAAAGGCTGTCGAGCTGGGGAGGGAGGAAGGAAAGGGATCGCAAAAGGTCAACTCTGCCAAATCTGCCAACTCTACCATCCTCACCTGCTCTGCCAAAAGGTTAACTCTGCCAAAAGCTGTAGCTGCAGCTCTGCCTGCTCGTAACATCCCATCACCTTTCATCTATCATCTAGTACGCTTGCCGGACTCCTAATTCCATCTCTCCCTTCACCTTACTTCCCTCCTCTCTCTCCTCCTCACCTGCAGCTGTAGCAGCGGCTCTGCCTGCTCCTAACATCCCCTCACCCCTCATCAACACACCCCTCATCCCTCATCTCTCTCTCTCTCTCTCCCCCTCACCTGCAGCTGCAGCAGCGGCTCTGCCTGCTCCTCCTCCCCGGCTGTTGCCGCGCTGCTGTTGCTGACGTCAGCCAGGGGCGGGCGGGACGAGCAGGGGGCGAGCACAGGGCCCCTCAGTGCCTCCTCTGCCTCCTCCGCACTCATGCTACTGCTGTTGCCAGTGTTGCTGATGGGAACGAGCTTCTCTTGCAGCCACTGGTTGACGGTCTGCAAGGGAGAATGGAGGGATGGATGGACGGAAGGGAGTGGGTGCTGCTCATCACCAGCAGGGGGGACAAGCAGTGGCGAGAACAGGGCCTCTCAGTGCCTCCTCTGCTTCCTCCGCACTCATGCTGCTGCTGCTGTTGCCAGTGTTGCTGATGGGAGCGAGCTTTTCTTGCAGCCACTGGTTGACGGTCTGAACGGGATGGACGGGTTGGATAAAGGGGAGAGAGCGAGAGACTCATTAGGGGCGGGCGGGATGAGCAGGGGGAGAGCACAGGGCCCCTCAGTGCCTCCTCCGCACTCATACTGCTGCTGTTATTGTTGCTGGCTAATGCGGGAGCGAGCTTTTCTTGCAGCCACTGGTTGACGGTCTGCAAGGGGGAGTGGAGGGTTGGGTGGACGGAAGGGAGTGGGAAACACTCCTTACCAGCAGGCGGGGTAAGCAGCAGGCGAGCACAGGGCCTCTCAGAGCCTCCTCTGCCTCCCCCGCACCCACGCTGCTGGTGCTGCTGCTGCTGGTGGGAGAGAGAGAGTTTCCCTCAAGAGTTTCCCCACTCGCCACTCCCCTCTCCCCCTCAATACACACCTTCTGAGGGTCTGTCTGTTGCAAAGCCTCCTCCAACAACCGAGCAATCGACCTCCGCAGCCCACCGTCCGTCACCACTCCCCACCCAGCCCCACCGCAATCAACCCCCACCTCCCCATCTCCACCCATCCCCACCGCTCCCCCCGCCCCTCTCCCCCTCCTGCTGCCTCCCCTCCCCGCCCGGCCAATCCCGCTGCGCCAGCTGTCACCCAGCAAAGCGTGCAGAGCTGCGTCTAGGGCTCTCAGCTTCCTGTGAATGGCTTTGGCGCGGGCCACTGAGGCGGCGACACGTGGCACTCCCCTGAGCTGGGCCAGGGAGGACACGTGGCAGGCTGCTGTTGGGTGCCATAGCTGCTCCTCCAATGCTCGCACGTCTGGCAAGAGGAAACGGGGAGGGGGAAGGTGGGTGGCGGACAGGGAGGGGGGAATGAGGAACGAGAGGGGGATGGAATGTGGGAGAAGAAAGGGAGGTCGGGGATTGGGGAATTGGGAATGGGGAATGGGAGGTGGGAAGATTAGGGAGTTGGAGGGTGGGGACGAAGAGCCGAGAGGGAAGGAGGATGGGGAATGGAGATAGGGGAGGAAGGAAGAAACGAAAGGGGGGCGGCGGAAGGGTGGTAAGGGCAGAAGGGGGGAGCAGCACATTTAGAAGGCTGCAGACACCTCCCTCACCATGTTTTCAAAAAACAGCACCTATCGTGCAGCATCTGCTCTGCAACCCCAACTTCTCTCTGTGCCCATTCAAAATGCTTTACACGTCGGCCCCACCCTCCACCCACAAGCCCCAAGCTGCTCACCTGCCGCCACCTCGTGCAGCATATGCTGCAAGTCGTGCTGCAGACGCGCTGACACCTGCAATGGTGAGAAAGAGGCGCACAGGGGAAGAGGGGCGAGGCAGAAGGGTGAGAATTGGTTTACACCTCCCTCTCACCCATGTCACCTTCCGTTCCCTCATGCAGCATCTGCTGCAAGTCGTGCTGAAGGCGTGCTGACACCTGCAATGGTGGTGGGGACGAGGGAGGGGCACAGGGGAGGGGTACAGGGGAGGGGCACAAGGGAGGGGAAGAGGGGCGGGGAAGAAGAGTGGGGATTGCATTGGGCCTTCCTCTCACCTGTTGCCACCTCATGCAGCATCTGCTGCAAGTCGTGCTGGAGACGCGCTGACACCTGCAATGGTGAGAAAGAGGCGCACAGGGGAAGAGGGGCGAGGCAGAAGGGTGAGAATTGGTTTACATCTCCCTCTCACCCGTGTCAACTTCCGTTCCCTCGTGCAGCATCTGCTGCAAGTCGTGCTGCAGGCGTGCTGACACCTGCAATGGTGGTGGGGACGAGGGAGGGGCACAGGGGAGGGGTACAGGGGAGGGGCACAAGGGAGGGGAAGAGGGGCGGGGAAGAAGAGTGGGGATTGCATTGGGCCTTCCTCTCACCTGTTGCCACCTCATGCAGCATCTGCTGCAAGTCGTGCTGGAGACGCGCTGACACCTGCAATGGTGAGAAAGAGGCGCACAGGGGAAGAGGGGCGAGGCAGAAGGGTGAGAATTGGTTTACATCTCCCTCTCACCCGTGTCAACTTCCGTTCCCTCGTGCAGCATCTGCTGCAAGTCGTGCTGCAGGCGTGCTGACACCTGCAATGGTGGTGGGGACGAGGGAGGGGCACAGGGGAGGGGTACAGGGGAGGGGCACAAGGGAGGGGAAGAGGGGCGGGGAAGAAGAGTGGGGATTGCATTGGGCCTTCCTCTCACCTGTTGCCACCTCATGCAGCATCTGCTGCAAGTCGTGCTGGAGACGCGCTGACACCTGCCGTGGTGGGAAAGAGGGGCACAGGGGAAGAGGGGCGAGGCAGAAGGGTGAGAATTGGTTTACACCTCCCTCTCACCCTTGTCACCTGCCGTTACCTCGTGCAGCATCTGCTGCAAGTCGTGCTGCAGACGCGCTGACACCTGCTGTGGTGGTGGGGACGAGGGAGGGGCACAGGGGAGGGGTACACAGGGGAGGGGCACAGTGGAAATTGACTTAAGAACCACACACAAGCCTACTGAAATCGTACCCTTGGCAGAGCAGTAAAAGACAAGCACTGCGCCAACATGCCTTAGTCACTCAAACTCGAACCTCGAGCCTCTTGAGTCAACACCACAGCCTTTGGCAATCGTACCCTCGTAGGAGCAGTGAAGGACGAGCACTGCGCCAGCAGCTGCAGCCGCCCCATGGCAGATGGCACCTCCCCCAGTCGCCAAAGTCACCCCAAACTCACAGGGCCACAGGACTACTGATATCATACCCTGGGCAGGGCAGTAAAGGACGAGCACTGCGCCAGCAGCTGCAGCCGCCCCATGGCAGATGGCACCTCCCCCAGTCGCGCCTGCAGCAGCCCCGCCAGCGCCTCCTCCTCCCGGGCCACTGCCGCCCAGTAGATGCCCTGCACCGCCCGCCAGCTGGCAAGGTCGCCTGTGTGGGGCCGGGGAGAGGGGGGAAGGGAAGGGTGGAGAATTTGGGTGGGGCATGGGAGAAGTGGGGGACGTGGGTGGGGGATGTTGAGAGGGTCGGACGAGGTAGAGAGAAAGGGGAGGGAGGGACATGAGGTATGAAGAGAGGTAAGTGAGGGCGGCAACACAGGAAGAGGCTTTCACAGGCTTTCACAGGATTTCACGAGGGCTGGGAGGAGGATATCAGTGTTGCTTTTGAGAATTCTCTAAAGCAACACCAATATAGCTGGGAGGCGGACATCAGCAGTAAAAGCTCCATGTTTCACACCTTCGAGAATGTCTGCCACGTGGCTGTCTGTGAGTGGCTCCAGGAAGCGCCTCCACCTGTCCACGTCAGCAGCACCAGTGCTGCTGCTGTTGCCTGAGGAGGAAGCTTCCACTGAGCACACCAGCGCGGCTGCTGCCATGGCCTCCTCCCACCCCTCGTGCTGCAGAGGGGGATGCGCAGACAGAGAGCATGCAGGAGAGAGAGGACAGGGAGACACTGAGGTTAACGATCAACCACAGAAGGAACTGCGAACCTCTCACAGCACACACCAGCGCAGCTGCTGCCATGGCCTCCTCCCACCCCTCGTGCTGCAGGGAGGACACGTAGTACAGACAGGAGGGATACGCAGACACGTAGGATAAACAAGAGGACAAAAGGATACTGATGCTGAGAATGGACTGTCACAGCAGTGCAGGAGCAACTGTAAGCCTCTCACAGCGGTCTACTCTTTTCACACTAGCTTTACATTGCCCTTTGATTACGAGTCAACAGGACAAAAGGATACTGATGCTGACTAAGGACTGGACTGTCACAGCAGTGCAGGAGCAACTGTAAGCCTCTTGCAGCGCACACCAGGACAGCACAGCTGCTGCCTGCCGCCTGCCATTCCCTCTTGCTCTGCTAGACTAGAACCTTCACGTTGCCAACTCCCTGAGTATCCCCTGCCGCCCAGAGAACCTACCCTGCCGCCCGAAAAATCTCACCTGCTGCCGGATATCTATGGCTTGATCCAGGAAAGCGCAAGCAGACGCCATTGCCACGTCAGCAGGGGCCACCGTGTGGTCCTGGCCCGGGAGCTGGGCTGGCGATGCCAGCTGCCAGGTCATGCGGCTGTGTGCTGACGTCATCTGCATCGCTGACGTCAGCTGGGAGCGACAGACGACGCTGACTAGGCGCGAGTGAAGTTGTGCCAGCTCATGCCGCCACACGTCCAGCACATCGCGGGCCTCCCTTAGATCCTGGAAAAGGGGGATCGGCAGAGAGAGATTACAGAGAAGCAGCGGAAGAGAGGGAATGGAATGGAAAAGATGGAACGGGATGGGAGACGGTGCAGTATGGTATGGCAGCCAGCTCATGCCGCCACACGTCCAGGACATCGCGGGCCTCCCTCAAATCCTGGAAAAGGGATGGTCAAGAGGGAGTCGGCGACAGGGAGAGGGAGTAGGCGACAGGGAGAGGGAGAGAACAAGTGTGTGTGGGTGGGCGGGGATGTGAGATGGTATGGCATGGTAACCAGCTCCTGAGGCGCCTCAAAAACGGGAACTAACACACAAAGAAAGCCCCAGACTTACACACAGAGGGAAAGGCAAATACTCACAGTCAGAGCAGCCTTGGGCGGCTGCAGCAGCACATTTCCGCCAGATACACCTGCACCAGTTGCCACTTTCCCCCCACAGAGAAGAGCAAGTAGATACTCACAGTCAGAGCAGCCTTGGGCGGCTGTAGCTGCACATGCCCGCCAGATGCACCTGCACCAGTTGCCACCTCCCCCACCCCTCCCTTCTTCCATTTCCTCCCCTACACATTGACCAGCTCCTAAGTGCCGCTGCTGCTGCTCCCACCTCCCCTCCCAGATAAAGGCAAATAGATACTCACAGCAAGAGCGGCCTTGGCCGGCTGTAGCAGCACATGCCCACCCTCCCCTTCTTCCCCCTCCTCCCCTCCACAACGACACTCAGCCAGCTCTTAAGTGCCGCAGCTGCTGCTCCCACCGCCCCTCCCCGATAACGGCAAATAGATACTCACAGCTAGAGCAGCCTTGGCCGGCTGTAGCAGCACATGCCCACCAGATGCTTTCTTCCCCCTCCTCCCCTCCACAACAACACTTAGCCAGCTCTTAAGTGCCGCAGCTGCTGCTCCCACCGCCCCTCCCCGATAACGGCAAATAGATACTCACAGCTAGAGCAGCCTTGGCCGGCTGTAGCAGCACATGCCCACCAGATGCTTTCTTCCCCCTCCTCCCCTCCACAACAACACTTAGCCAGCTCTTAAGTGCCGCAGCTGCTGCTCCCACCGCCCCTCCCCGATAACGGCAAATAGATACTCACAGCTAGAGCAGCCTTGGCCGGCTGTAGCAGCACATGCCCACCAGATGCTTTCTTCCCCCTCCTCCCCTCCACAACAACACTTAGCCAGCTCTTAAGTGCCGCAGCTGCTGCTCCCACCGCCCCTCCCCGATAACGGCAAATAGATACTCACAGCTAGAGCAGCCTTGGCCGGCTGTAGCAGCACATGCCCACCAGATGCTTTCTTCCCCCTCCTCCCCTCCACAACAACACTTAGCCAGCTCTTAAGTGCCGCAGCTGCTGCTCCCACCGCCCCTCCCCGATAACGGCAAATAGATACTCACAGCTAGAGCAGCCTTGGCCGGCTGTAGCAGCACATGCCCACCAGATGCTTTCTTCCCCCTCCTCCCCTCCACAACAACACTTAGCCAGCTCCTAAGTGCCGCTGCTGCTGCCCCTACTGCCCCTCCCACGGCCAGCACCAGCGGATCCTCCCACTCCTGCTGCTCTTCCTCCCCGCCTGTAGCGGCTGTAGCAGCTGTAGCGGCTGTAGCGGCTGTAGCGGCTGTAGCAGCAGGAGCAGCGGTTGCAGCTGTGGCGGCTGTAGCGGAAAGCCTATGGAGCGTGAGGCCTTGAGTGGCGATGACTCTGCAGGAGGGAGGGGCAAGGGAGTGAGAGGGGGAAAGGGAGTGGGAAAGGGAAAGAGAGTGAGAAGGGGAAAGGGAGTGAGAAGGGGAAAGGGAGTGAGAAGGGGAAAGGGAGTGAGAAGGGGAAAGGGAGTGAGAGGGGGAAAGGGAGTGAGAGGGGGAAGGAAGTGGGAGGGGAGAAGGGATTGGGAGGGGGAAAGCGAGCGGGAGGGGGAAAGGGAGTGGGAGGGGGAAAGGGAGTGGGAGGGGGAAAAAGAGTGGGAGGCGGAAAGGGAGTGGGAGGGGGAAAGGGAATGGGACGGGGAAAGGGAGTGGGAGGGGGAAAGGGAGTGGGGGGGGAAAGGGAGCGGGAGGGGAAAAGGAGCGGGAGGGGGAAAGCAGCAGCAGGGAAGCAGCAGCAGCACTCATACTCAGTCCGTCAGTTGCTGGATAGCCACCCTAACCGCCTCCTCACTCCCCGGCCCAGCAGATGACTAGGGCCGCTCAACAGGCAGCATTTTTTAGTCGACTCAAAAGCCGCCTCCTCACTTCCCCGCCCGCTGATGTCTAGGGCCGCTCAACAGGCAGCAGCGCGCATACTCACTGCATGCACTGTTAAAGAGCAACCTTAGCCGCCTCCACAGTACAACAGCAGTGCAGCAGTAGCAGCAGGGCAGCAGCAGCAACGCGCATACTCACTCCATGAGCTGTTGAATCGCCACCCTAACCGCCTCCTCGCTCCCCCGCCCAGCTGCCCCACACGTGGACTCAAACGCCCCCGCCTGCTGCGCCATCGCCTCTGCTGCTGCCACTGCAGGATGGGAGGTAAAAGGGTGGGTGGGAGGTGCGGGGAAGAGGGGAGTGTGAGGAGAGAAGGGTTAATGAGAAGCTGAGAGGAAGAAGTGCCTCAACTCTCCCCCGCCCAGCTGCCCCACACGTGGACTCAAACGCCCCCGCCTGCTGCGCCATCGCCTCCGCTGCTGCCACTGGAGGATGGAGGTGGGGTGGTGTGGATGAGAGATAGGTTCATAAGTGAGTCCATAAGGTAAGGCGAACTTCCTGCCGTTTCTTTCTGATAAAATCTGGGGGTGTATCAAACGAATTTCAGGCTGTGGATGAGAGATGGGTTGAAGTGAGCCCAAGGTAACACGAGCTTCCTGCCGTTTCTTTCTAATAAAACCTGACTCCAGTGGAGAGGGGAGAATGGGGAAGGGAGAAACTGATGAGGGAGAAGGAACGCACTGATTGACGTGATGTCTTACCTCGCTTCCTCGCATTCCCCTGCAGCTGTCGCACTGCACCTAAGTCACACGCGCCTGCAGTCACAGTCACGCCCTCCTGCTGCTCTTCACCCCCCGCTATAGCCACATCCTCTGCTGCCTCCACTGCTGCCCTGACACCCCGCCAAAACTCTGCTACAGCTGACGCCGATGCCACGTCAGCTGCAGCTGATGCTGGCGCCACGTCGGATCCCAGCCTGATGTGGAAGTGGGTTGCGCGCTGCACCCACTGCTGCAGCACCTGAGAATGATCCGGAGCCGCCTGGAAATGAAAAAGCAAGAGTTGGACATACATAGTCACATCGCATACTGTCACATTATTGAAAACAATCACGGCAACAGAAGAACCTGATGTCCAAAGCGAAACCAACCGAACACGAACGCACAGGGCGGGCGCGCGCGCACACACACACACACACAACTTGCCTGATATGGTGTTCCAAACGAGCCAGAGGGCTCGTCGGAAACAGTTAAGAACTCTCCAACTCCCGCAACCCAGGAACACACGCGAAGAGGATCGCCCATAGCAGCTGCTGATAGCTCATGTCCGCGCCTCCCCTTCCGCCTCTGGAGTTCTCGCTCCCGCCTCAGCCGCCGTTCCTCCTCTCTTTGCCTCTGCTCCACTCTCACCCTCTCCCTTTCCTTCTCCCTCTCCCTCTCCCGTTCCTTCTCCCCCTCTTCCATTTTCCGCCGTTCCTTCTCTCGCTCCTCAGCCCTCTCCTTCTCCCTCTCCCTTTCCGCTGCAATTCGCGCCTGCCTCTGCCGATCCATCTCTCGCTCAATCTCTCTCAACCGCTCTCGCTCTCTCTGTCTCACTTTCACCATCTCCTCTTGCCTCTCCTTCTCCCTTCGTTCCTCCAGTTCCCTCTCCAATTTCTCCCGCTTTTCCCTCTCTTCCCTCTCCACCCTCTCCCGCTCAAACCTCTCCCTCTCCCTCCTCTCCCTCTCCTTCCTTTCCCTCTCCATCTTTTCCCGTTCAGCCTTCTCCTTCTCCTTCCGTTCCCTCTCTTCTCTCTCCCTCTCAATCCTCACTTTCTCTTCTCGTTCACGCCTAGCCTTCTCTTCTGAACTCTTCTCTCCTTCTCCTTCCTCTCCTTATCCCTCTCTTCTTTTAGCAACCTCTCCCTCTCTTCCCTCTCTTCCCTCTCCGCCCTCTCCATCTCCTCCCTCTCTCGCGCAACCTCCATCTCCCTCTCTCTCTTCCTCTCAATCTCCCTCCTCCTCTCCTCCTCCTCCGCTTCTTCCCCGTCCCCCTCCCGACCTCCCCCAATGGCTTTCCTTTCCGAACCTTTCCTCTCCGAGCCTCTCATCTCTTTCACCCGAAGCTGCGATTCAACCCTTCCGAAGCTCAGCCTCCTGTCCGACCCGTCGGTAACTGCGGAGAAGCTTCCAGTCACGCGTTCCTCTGGTTGGGTGTGACCCCGCGCCTGCTGCACCGAAGGAAGCGGTGGCGTTGGCTGCGGTTCCTGCTGTCGATGGTTTTGCAACGAGGGAGATTTGAAGCCGAACCTGCCACCAGCCTGCTGCGGCTGCTGCTGCTGCTGATGCTGCTGCTGGTGCTGCGGGAGCTGGTGCGGGTGATTTGAATCCTGCTGACGCTGGCCGCGTTGCTCCTGCCCAGGATTCGATCTCCTTTCTGGCTTGACGTCAGGAGCTAACGAGGCCGCCTGCTCGCCAGCTGTTACCGAGGACCACGAGAAACATCATTCGTACGAAATAGATGTTACAAAGTTACGGAATTGTCGAATTATGCTGAGCGGGCTTATGATAGAGGCAAAATACAAACAGAAGGCGCCGCGTGCAAGATCTACACCTACGAAAGAGGTGTAGCGCAGATGCCGCAGTTGTATATCATATGGTATTTCCCATCATTATGCAAGTAAAATACACCTAGGCGTACCATGATTACTCGGACGAAGAACTCCTGTCGCCTTCGCTCCGCCATTGTAGTGGATCCTACTAGCACTCGCGGCGTCAATCGCGCTACTCCTTCCCGGAGTTTCCGTCCCGAACCTGCTTCCGGCATCCGAGCTTGCTGAGCTGGTCCGGCTCAGCTCCCCGCCTTCCTCCGAGCCGTGACCCGAGCCTGACCTACGCGGCAGGTTCGACGGAAGGCGCGACGAAGGTGTCCACGAGGTTCGGAGACTAGTGACCGTTCCTGGAGGTTTGAGGCCAGGCCTGGGTGACACTGGAATACCAGAGTCTCCCTCCTTAGCTGGACCGTTTTCCTTCGCTATAAGCACTTCCGATGCTCGTTGTGGTGACTGGAATAGTAACTTTTGCTTAACTACAGGACTAGGGATTGCTGAACCGAGACTGCCACCAATCGAGGACGATCGCGGCGTGGGTGACGGTTCGGCAATTCCAGTCCTTTCTGTTCGTTGGTCCGCCATGGCCGACGGATCCCCAGCTTTCGTCATTCTGTTGCTGGAACGTCTCTCATCTACGTAAACTAGCGTATAACTACTTCCGTCGTCAATACTGTCTGTATAATTGTTCTGTCTGTTCTCTCGCAAGTCCGATGTGCTGTATGAGTTGAAGAATCGAGAAGCACGGAAGCTAACTCTGGCTTGGTGATGGCTCGGCGTGGTCACGCAACCCTCGGTATCTCCAATTTTCCAGCCCAAGGCACAGAACGGAGCCATTACAAGTAGCAGATCGCATGGCTATGAAGTTGCCCGTCGGAAAATCCTGGTGGGACCTTGGCGCGCCGACGACCAGTGCGGTTCAGGATGTTACCACACACGGTTTCGTTTTCAGCCGCTTTTGACCAGAACATACCATACCGAACCGTGGTTCGCGAAATCCAAATTTGTAACACCCCCTTCCAGATTCCTTGTCGCCCATCACCATCCGCCCCGAAAACCATCATCAAAACATTTTGAAGCTCCATGTCCAGCACCATCACCAAGACTTCCAGATTCGCCAAGCCAAAAAATCGCTGGGCGGGAAGTCATGTGTCGCTCTGTGATTTGCCATCAAGAAAGCAAGCGAGGCTTGGCTTGAGTAGAACTGGTTTGAGGGTGTTTCCCGCCAAACTTGTGTGCCTCGGTTCAGGACCTGCAGGTTTGTCTCTGGCCTGGACCACCTGTTTCTGACGATTCATTGGTTACTCGCAATTGTGTCAGACCTGCTGACCAGCTGCCGAAGCGCTATTCCTAGCGGTACCAGAAGGGAAACACGACACTCACGAACCAGATCATTGTATTGTACAACTCATTTCAGACTTTTTCTCATAATCTCGAAGTAACTCTGTATCGAGAATAGACAGCACGGCATTGCTTTTGGCAGCCACGTGTGGCGCGTAGCAGGTCAAGCATGCGAGTGGTCGCGAAACTGCAACAGCGAGTTACGTAACGTTACGCACAAAAAAACAATCTCACGGGGCGCGTTGCCTCGTCAGCCGCGATAATCGAACGGCTGATATCGTACCGTGCACAATCGTCGTCTTGATTGCCGAGACGCTCAGCAAGGTTTCCTGCCCTCCTGGATAACCCTTGTTTCGCACAAATAGTCCAGTACGGTTCAGTGCGTTTCCACGCACTAGACAATGGGTCTGCGAGGTTATTAATCTGGAACGCAATGCAACCCACAAAACTGCTTTTTTATGTGATTCACTCGACTTGGGTATGTCAATCACAAAACGATTGCTTTCGGCGGGTATCTCCCTCCTCCGCACGCTAGCCACGGCGCGTGCTGGCGTTCCGCACTTTTGAAAGGGACACGGTCTTCGTATGTTTCTCGACAGCGTTTCCAGTAATCTCCGAGAAACCGCTGGATCCTGCTATACTAGCGAAAGGCACGCCAATGGTCATTTTCACGCGCCTTGAACATTAGTAATGTGCTCGCGACGAGATAGCAGTACTTGTAGACCAGAAGAAGCGACCCTTCGTCTGCGCCGCTCAACTCGAGGCATTATTTGTCGGTCTTAACTCGCCGCCGCTTGCGGCCAGCCATGGGCTGAGTACCAAAAGTAGACGAGGCAACCGACCTTTGAGTACACGAGGCATTATTCGTCGATCTCAAAAGCGACTTTCGGGTATCCTGTCGTCTTCTAGTCACACCGCCACCGCCGCCATTAGTTAAAGCTCTTTAGGTGCGATCATGGGCTGCGATTTTTATTAGGCGCCTTAAAGATATTATTCAATTTGCTCGCCGCCACCGCACCGCCTTCATGGGCTGCTGCGAAAGCAGGCTGGATAACGGCGGGCCGCGAAGCGTGTCGCTGATGGCCCAGCGCCGCCGACCACGGTCGTGGTTCCATCTCCACTTGCACGGCTTTGCAGCCGTCCACTCCATCGCGTGCAGCTTCGCCTCCTCAGGTGGGTGCTGTGCTACCAGCCAGACAGTCGATGAGTCGATGCTGCGAGAGAGCAGGCTGAATAAAGGCTGCGGTCCGAGAAGCGTGTCGCTGATGCCTCAGCGTCAACCGCGATCGGCGTGGTTCCACTTGCACGGCTTCGCGGCCGTCCACTCCATCGCCCGCAGCTTCGCCTCCTCAGGTGCTGCCACGTGCTGCTACGTGCTGCCACGTGCTGCCACGTGCTGCTACGTGCTGCCACGTGCTGCCACGTTCTGCCGCGTCCACCGCATTCATTATTCTGTATTTTTCTCCTGCCTCTCTTCCCCACCCGCCAGTGTCAGGCAGCCGATTCACAACCACGGATGAGACCTGGTCCACGTTATTACTCCGCCAAATCACCTACCGCGAGCTGCCAGGGACAGGCATCCCATTCACCGCGCACATGTTCTTCCCATGCCTTCCCTCCCTACCAGTGTCAGGCACTAGTCGATTCACAACAACGGATGAGACCTGGTCCACGTTACCATTCCGTCGGTTCACCTATCGCGAGCTGCAGCACGCCACGCCGTGGTGGGAGTCCCAACGCCACCCAATCTCCCCTGCCTCTCTTCTCTTCCCCTCCTGTCAACACTCCGCCGATTCACCTACCGCGAGCTGCAGCACGCCACACAGTGGTTTCACCTCTCCTGCCTCTCTTCCCTTCCTCTTCCCTTCCTGCCTCTCTCCCCCTCCTGCCAGTGTCAGGTACCAGTCGATTCACGACAAAGGATGAGACCTGGTCAACGTTGCCACTCCGCCGATTCACCTACCGCGAGCTACAACAAGCCACACAGTGGTTCGGCACTTGATGAGCCAGATCCTGGGCCGGGGCAGCTTCGGCACGGTGTACCGAGGCTCGGTGGAGGGCTGGCTCGGCGAGGAAGACAACGGGAAGGTTCCAGGGGAGGAGAGCGGAGGAGGAGGGAGCGCGAAGAGGAATGGGGAAAGAAGAGCAGGGAGAGCAGGAAGAGAAGGAAGAGGAGGTGGGGGTAGAAAGGCAGGTGGCGGTGCTTCAGGTGGTTCAAACAGCAGTCCACATCAGCGTGACGTGGCAGTGAAGGTTCTGCACAGCGGCAGTTTCAAGGCTGTAGACGAGTGCATGTCTGAGATCATAATGCTGGGGAGTCTGAACCACCCTAACCTGGTGCGACTGCTGGGGTACTGTGTGGATCTGAATCGGCCCCGGGGGGGCGCTGCTGCGTTGCTGGTGTATGAGCTTATAGCGAGGGGGATCTGCACACGTGGCTGTATCCACGTCAGCAGGAGGAGCAGGAGGAGCAGGAGGAGCAGGAGGAGCAGGAGGAGGAGGAGGAGCAGAGGCAGCGATGGTGGGGGGTACGAGTGTGACTGCTACAGCTGATGCTGTTGCTGCTGCCACAGCTGCTACAGTTGATGATGCTACAGCTGCTGGTGCGGCTAGGGGAGTGTCTGGTGCTGCTGCTGCTCCAGTGGCGTTGATTCCGCCGTGCCTGTGCTGACGTGGCAGCAGCGCGTGCGCATAGCTGTGGACGTGGCGAGAGGGCTGGAGTACCTTCACGGGCAGAACGTGATTCACAGGGACTTCAAGACGTGCAATATTTTACTGGATGAGGTAATAACGCGTACAGGGTGTACCTACTGAGGTGCACTTACAGTAGCATACAGAGGGCTAGAGTAACCTGCACGGGCAGAACTTGATTCACAAGTGCGAAGCTGACGAATTTCGTAACGGCGACAGTGGGGCCTGAAGCAGGCAAGTCGCCGCTCTTGATGTTACAGCAGGGGTTCTGTGCGGTGGAGATGGATAAACTTCCCTCTCACCCCCTCTCACCCCACAACAGCACATGACTGCGAAGCTGACAGATTCCGTAACGGCGACCATGGGGCCTGAAGCGGGCAAGGCGCTGTGCTGATGCTCTGAGTTCTCTCACCCCGCTCTCACCCCTCCCCCCCTCCCCCCCCCCCTCTCACCCCTCTCTCAACCCCCTCCCCCTCTCCCCCCCCTCTCACCCCTCTCCCCCCCGTGCAGCACATGGCCACGGCAGGGCCCGAGGCAGGCAAGTTGCTGTCCTGATGCGGCCTCTCTCTCACTCTTTCATCCACCTCTCTCACCCTCCTCTCTCACCCTCCTCTCTCACCCTCCTCTCTCACCCTCCTCTCTCACCCTCCTCTCTCACCCTCCTCTCTCACCCTCCTCTCTCACCCTCCTCTCTCACCCTCCTCTCTCAC